CTTTTTACTTTTTTTAAAAACCTTCTCTTTCTGTTAATTGTGATTCATCCAACAACTTAATATAGAAAATAATAGATGTAAAGTGTTTTTAATTCTTTTAATTTCATTTCCAGAATACCTTATTGTATGCCAATTACTTTTGTAGAGACTTCTAATCCATGTTCTGATAATATTAAGATAAAATTGGATGATTAAATAAAATATGTATTCCAATTAAAGTTCCTCATGTTAGATTGTAAGAATAATATTTTAAATTATATAAATTATTTGTATCTCCTATAGTAAAATATTCTATAGTAAAATATTGAAGTTTCATATTATTAAGATAAAAGTCTTAAAAACAAAACACTCAATTATTTGATAATATCATTTCAAAAGAAATAAAAGAACTGCTAGTTAATGAATATAACATAAAAAACAAGGCTTATTGCTTTTGAAATGAGTTTTGATTGAAAATCCTATTGATTACAATAACAAGAGTGCCTATTTAAAAAATGGAAAGATCATAAGATTATAAAAAAAATTATATTATAATAAAATTAAAATAAAATGAATGAGAAATATTATTTTTGGGAATGACAAAATCAAAATTTAAGATTGAGTATTAATCTTTAGATCTGATTATAAGAAAGAATTAAAAAGTAACGTTAACAAGATTTTATTAGATTTAAAAATATTACCTAGGATAAATAAACTTTTTTAATCTAGAAAATGTATGTCATTAATAGTTTTTGATAAACATATGTAAGATAAAGAATGAGAAGCTTATATCATTAGAATGAAATCTATGATTAATTGCTATACTTAATAAATTATAGAATAATAATAACAATTAATATAAAAGATAAACAATAAATATATCAAGACTAACATGTAATGGAATTTTTGTTTAATTCTATGAAATTCATTATATTTATAGAATTTAGACAATTGACAAAAATAAACAGGATAAAAATATTATTTTGATCATTTAAAAGTATATAATAAATTTTAGATTGAACTAATAAAAGTTTTGAGATACGAATATCGAAAATAATCGTATTTGAAAATGAATAAATAGACAATATAAAAGTATAATAAATATATATATAAATGCAAAAAATTCTGAATTTTAGAGAATATTTTTTAAATCCTAAAGGAATTAAGATTGTGCCTACTTCAAATTTCAAAAGAGCTACACCTATTGAAAGATTTTTTGATTAATCTGTGGTTTTGCATAGAGCAGAGAAGTAATTAGAGAAAAATGTTGTAGCATTCAAATTATAACCATATAAGTATTCATTGAATAAACCTGAAATAAAGCAATACTTTACAAAATGTATGTTTAATATATATATTAAAAAAAAGTGTATGGATTAAATGTTGATAAAGTGAATACTATTAATTATATGGGAGCAATAAAAAGATCACCTAAAGGAGGTCGTTATAGAGAGAAAGACTTTAAGAAAGTGTATTTATAATTAAATGAAGAAATTGAACCATTCTTTTAGAAAATAGAAAAGTGATTTTATAAGCATATATAAAAAGTATAATAATTATGAATTTAATTTAATAATTTGCATAATAACATCACTCAGGTTTATACAACCATCCTGTTCTACAAAATGCTCCAGCCAAGACTAATGATAAAATAGCCATCAATTTAATCAAAATATTTAAAGATGGTCCTGAAGTATCTTTAAGAGGATCACCAACAGTATCACCTAAACAAAATAAATAAAAAATGATTACCAATAACAGCAGCCTTATGTTCATCTGATCCCTTCTTTTTCACTTCTCCAGCTTCATTTCTATAAAATCCGGCTTCAATGTATTTCTTAGCATTATCCCAGGCTCCTCCTGTATTAGAGGCTGAAATAGCCATTTAAACACCACTAATTAATGCACCTGGTAATAGACCAGCTACAGCATAAGGTCCAAAGAACAATCCTACAGCAGTTGGAGTAACTATGACCTATAATTTATTAATTAAATATAATTACTAATAAACCAGGAGGAATCATTTCTTTTAAAGAAGCTTTTGTTGAAATGGCAATACAAGCTCTGAAATCTGGCTCTTCTGTTCCTGCATAAATACCTGGATGTTCATGTAATTATCTACGAACTTCTTCAACCATTTGAAGTGCAGCTTTTCCAACTGATTTCATTGTAAATGCAGAAAATGCATATGGCAACATTGCACCTATTAATAACATAGCAAATATAATAGGATCATCTATTTTAGCACCTTCAGCAAATGGGAATTGATCACCAACTTTGTAAGTTTATATTCTTGTTAAATATCCACCATAAAGTGATAATGAGACTAAAGCAGCTGATCCAATAGCAAAACCTTTTCCAATTGCAGCAGTTGTATTACCTGCAGCATCTAAGGCATCAGTTGACTCTCTAACATTTTCTCCCAATTCACTCATTTCTGCAATACCACCTGCATTATCAGAGATAGGTCCATATGCATCAATAGCTAATCCTATAGTGAGATTTGAAAGCATTCCTAGAGCAGCCAAAGCGACTCCATAAAATGAAAGCATCTTCATTGATAATAAGGCAGTTATTGCTATGGCTACAATAGGTACAATAGTTGATAAATATCCTAAAGCCAAACCATAGATGATATTTGTAGCAGCACCAGTACCACAAGCTTTAGCAACTTCTCTGACAGGTGTATAAGAATGAGATGTCATGTATTCTGTGAAATACCCAATTAATAATCCGGACCATAATCCCATTAATGAGCACAAGAAAGCATGCCATGGCTTAAGTTCTGACAATTAAATAGAGTTATCTGCAGCAACCATTACAAAATCAGCAGGTAAACACCAATATGCAATACCTATTATAATTGGAGACAAAGCCACTGTTGATAATAACAATTAGAATTTCAAAGTGGATTCGATTTTATTTATGTGATTTACTTTTGAAATATAAACAGCATAAGCTGATACCAAAATACAAATTCCAATTCCAAAGGCTGAAACCATTAAAGGATACATCAGTTAACCGATTTCAATCACATAAGTATCTCCTTGTACAACTCTTAATTATGTAGATGAAACAACCAATGCTGCACATGTAGATTCTGCAAAAGAACCGAATAAGTCAGCTCCCATACCAGCAATATCTCCTACATTATCACCAACATTATCTGCAATTGTTGCTGGATTCTATTATATAGATATTATTAATAATACCTTTGGACTGTCTTCTGGTAAGTTCTTCTCAACTTTTCCTACTAAATCTGCTCCAACATCTGCTGCTTTTGTGTAAATACCTCCACCAACTCTACCAAATAATGCAAATGTTGATCCTCCTAAACCATAGGCTGCTACGTAATCAAACATTGTGACCAAATCTTCAAAATTGTTATCATCGCTCCTTACTATTATTGCATTATAGATTATAATGATCAATGTTAAAATTGACAATGATATTGAGACTAATAAAAATCCCATTACACAACCACCTCTATAAGCCATCTTTTCATAGGATTAATTTATTTACCTAAAATGCATTTGATAATGATGTGATTGCTGAAAATGCTGTTCTGAAATTTGCTGCTGTTGCTATAGCCATACCTAAATATCCACAAAGCATTGAAGTTGCTGCTCCTAAAACAAATGCAAGTGAAGACCATGGAGAAATAAACTAGATTATATATTAATTCTTTTTACTATTAATAAAACAGCCATGATCGCTAAAAATACACTACAATCTGTGTATTCCTCTTTTAAAAAGGCTTGAGCTCCCTTTTATAATTATAATCAATATTTACATCTTATATGTGTTCTCCTATCTCTAATAGTGTCTCTATTTTCTCTTATTCTGCTCCTTATAAAAGCTCTGTCAATCCCTCATGTTTGTGATGAATCTCCAGTTTGTGAACTGCCATCCAATTAAAGATAGCCCAAACAATACCACAAGCGCATGCTATGAAAATAAACACCAGAGCAGTCACAAATTCCATGATATTTAAATTTAATATGAAATCTTAATTTTCATTTGTTTTATATATATTTTTATATTTTAGTATGTATTAACTTACCAAAAGTGCGTAAATAGTTATCAAATAATAGGCTATAATTAATTAATATATATATTTATAATTGAATATAATTGCAAATCAAAAATATCATAATAAAGTGAACAGAATCATGCTAAAATACAATAGATTATTTAAATTTAAAAATTTTAAATACATCTACACCTGTAATTCTTTAAAATAATTTTTATAAGGAAATTGAATATCCTTACTGAAGATAGAAATTAATCAATTTTATATCAGAATTTAGTTTTATAGGATCAGGAATTATTCAATATTAAGATTTCATAATAATTAGTGTGTGTTTTAAATTAATTCAATTTCCATATTTTTGAGCCTTTTTGTTGAAAATTATTGTTATAATTATTATTGTTATAATTATCCATAAATTTTTATGATATGTTTATTAATTTTGAGATTGTAAAGTTATTTTAATAATCAATAATATAAATGCTAAATTGAAAAGAGCACTCAAATTGATTTAGAAAATCATATTACGTTAATTATTTCGTGAATCTATTATAATGTTTATTGTATACGAGTTTAGAACATCTAAACAATATGGAGAGATAAATAAAAATTGTAATTATTAGAATTAACATCTATGATATATCTAATTTTTTTATAATAAATATATTGTATTGAAATTTGTTTTTAATATATTATATTTTTCTCAGAAATTATAATAAAATTAATCATAAATTCATCTATTAAAAAGTTTGTAAGAGATTTAAAGATATTTAATTCCATCATTTGTTATATTTAATATGATTGTAAAATTTAATTTTAAGTAGTTTATCTTTTAAGTTATTTTATATTTAAGAAAAAGAGTAAAATATATTTTTAACTGATAAAAATTGAAATATATCTATTGATTAAGGCCTTCATAAATTTGATATCAGAACAATTATTCAATTATTAAGATAATAATTTATTTTATATTAAAAATAATTTATAATAATCAATGATGTAAATTACTTCTATCAATATATTGATTTTGCCCACATTTTGTACATTTATCGTAGAAACAAGACCTATGAAATATTTTCTTGCATTTTCTGCAGTACTATGTTCCAATAATATCAAAGATATAAATATTTCCTTTTAAACATTCAGCACATTTAACACTTAATTTTTAACATTATGGACATTTAGAGATATGATCTAAGCCATAATCATATGCATTATTAGCAATTTTAAATAATGTTTTATTATTAATGTCAATGAAATTTTATATACTAAAGAGATTAATTGGCAATAGTAAATGAGAGTAATTTTAAGTGAAATTAAAATCAAAATTAAAGTCTTGACATAATAAATCATACATCAATCTTAGAGATCTTTTTTTTATTAGAAAGTCATATAATATTTGATTCTAATATACTACATTATCAAAATAATTAATTTAAAAAATGATTTTCTTCATATTCTTTTAAATAGTTTCATAAGCTTCTTTACTAACTTAATATTTATTAAAATCAAATTTATTAAGAATTAAATGTGGAATAACACTTAATTCATTACTAATACATTAACGACAAAAAAATAAACCACTATAATGACAATAATATGCTGTCCCTTAAAAAAAGAAATATGAATTCTTTTAAATTTATGTTTAACATGCATGACATTATCCTGTAAATTTACTAATTGGTGTTTATTGACAATTCCAATATTCTTCAATTTATTTATCTCTTAATTCTCTTAATAATTTTGTAGATTTTTTGCATTAAAATGAAATATATTAAGGTAATGCTTTATGTTATTCTTCATCTGATTCATCACCTTTAATAGAATCTTATTCCATCATTGGACTACCAAAATTTAGATCTGGTGTTTCCATATCTTATTTTCTATGTGTAGGTGCATGAGTTGCAGAATCATCACAATCTAAAGAGAAAACATGTTTAATTGGTTATATATCTTCAAATTATTGAAATCTTTCAAAGAGATCTCCTTGCATATTATTTGATATATTTGGAGGTTATGGAAAGAATGTTTTTGTATTACTTTATTCTCTATATAAAGGTGTTGGCAGATCATAAATTTTATCACCTATCAATTTAATATGTTTGCAATAATAACTATCTAGAATATCAACTAATTCTCCTTGTCTAATACATGCATTATTTTAATATTTTTCTTTAGTCTCATTAGATAATATAAATTCCAAAAGAGTATTTGAATTCAATTCTAATAAGATCCAAATAGGAGCTTTAAGCCTATCTACTTTAACGAATTTCAGGCACTTTTAGATGAATTTGGTTGACTTTCTATTCTCTATGACTGGGTAGAGATGACTAAAGAATCCACTATGAACTTCTGAAAGTTATGGACTTTAAATTTGCTAGAGATTTCTAAATTGTATACTAACATATCTAATCCACTATTAAATATCTTAACTAAAACAGCTAATAGTTCTAATATATATTAATCATTAATTGGGACTTCTTAATCCTAATAAGGTATGTGATCAACTAAATTCTTTAATTTGCGTAGAATTTATTAATGTATATTTTTTCTGCCCATTAAATCTGGAGTTGTTGTAGAGCTCTCTAATTCATATTTCATCATGTTTTAATAAATTTATATATTCATATTATAATAGTATCATTAAAATTTTTTATCAATTATGAATTATATTGTTTAAGAAATTCTTATTTATAGATTTCATATAATTATCTATCAATTTAATATAAATAGATTAACCTTTAGACTGTTTAGACACAGCAGTAATTTCATAAATTATGATCAACATTATTTTAAGAAATTGGCTCATTAATTAGCTACAAGTTTTTTTCTGTTTAATTTTCATTGATTTTATCAAATATTATAAATTATAAAGATATTTAGTTGTTTATATAATATAAATGTAAATGTTTAAGAAAACAAAAAAATCCAATAGATTAATAAAGACATAATGAAAGTTAATACAAAATAGGTTCATTCTATTACTAGAGTAGAAGTATTATTGATCAATTATGATTCTAAAAAAGATTAGGATACTCTTTGATGAAGTAACTTAGATGCATATCCGTTTAATGTTAGAGTTTAGGTTGACTCAGTTAAACATAAAATTGATAGCATCTTTTTCTAAGTTTCTAATCTTTTTGTTTTCCAATATTCTTATTCTTTAAATAGAGGATCTGTTTTTGTTTAAATACCTAATTATTTAAGGTATTTCACTATTTCTATTTCAGTCTTCTTTTCTTCAGTATTTAATTGTATTTCTATAGAGTCATTCAATTCTTTTAAATTTATAGGACTATCATAATTTGCATTTGAAAGCCTAAAAATATCAAAAAATTAATTAGGTTAATCAATTTTTGATTTCATCAAACAATATCAAGAGCAATCTAACAAAAAAAATAATTATGAATTATATAAAATTTGTTCCCATAAATACAAAATTTGATTAAAAGAATATTCTGACCAATAAATTAATTCATAAATCATTCATTTCCGTATTGTCTAAGTCAACTTAACTATTATTTTAATATGTTATTTATATGAGACATTACTAAATATATAATGAATATTAAATCAAACTTAGATTATTATAAAAATAATAAATAATTATATAAATCAAATCCATCTTGATTGATACATAAAACAATGATCATTAAATGAAGGTACTAAATTATTTTACTAATTTAATTTTTCTATTTTGTCATTCAATACATTTTCATCTTCATCATTAGAGTCTACAAAAGTTTCTGAATTAATCTTTTTTTTTTATTTTAATAATGCAAAAAGTGAATTTGGATCTTATCCATATTTACCAAATTAAATAGTTTCTTCTGAAAAATTATTTATAGTTTTCTTTATATCACATTCACTATCTTTAATTTCTATAATAGTTCTTAAACTAGGAAGTGCCATTTATTTAGTAATAAATTTTTATATTTTTTTTTCTTTATTATTGATTAACCAAACATGTTTTAATGCATCATTAATACTTATTCTAAGATTATGATTAGGTTATATCATTCTTTTTATTAGATCTAATTAACTAATACTAAAAAGTTATGGATAATCTTATGAAAATTTTTATTTTGTTATTAACTTTTCTTATTCTAATATTAATTACATTAATTTATCTCCTTAATTATTAAAATAATCAATATTAAATGGTTTAGTATAATTGAAAAATGTAATTAATCCTAAAATAACCCCTAATTAATAAATATCTGTTTATGTTGATGGATTTATACCATCTTAAATTTCTGGTGCTATCAAATAATTTGGAGTTGATTATTTATATATTGAAAGTGTATTTTAATTGTAAAACTAAAAAGATTATTTAATTTACTTTACTTTATAATGTGAATTAATCAAATAAGTTCCAAATTAAGTTTTCAGATTACTGTAACAAATAATGTTTTCACATGAAATTTTACCATGAAATAACTCTTCATCTGAAAGAGATCTCAAGGCTAATAATATAGATATACAAATTGTTGCTATTTATTATTAAGTAAAGTATTATTTTTTTGATTAATTAAAATATTAATCAAGAGAATTTCCCTTAAAATATTTACAAACTATAAATAACATTTATTTATCTTCAAAAACTCCAATTGTTTAAATATAATTACTGATTTAAGAATTTCTTAAGATTTTTAAATAATTGTCAAGTAATTCTGCCTGGTCATTATTTTGAATACTTGCTAAATTAATCGCTTATGTAGTTAATAATGATTTTTGCTTTTTGTGCTAAATAAGATAAAAGTTTTAACATATCAACTCTACAACTTTAAATTTTTTATTAAAATTATTTCTTTTGCAAAACTTCTTAATACAATTATTCCATTATTTTAATGATAAAGGATGAGAAAATATTAATACTAATTATCCAGTTTGATTAATAAGCTTTAAATAATATGCTCTAAAATGTGATGATTAATATCTCTTTTTTTCAATAAAACAATCATTTAAAACAAGGCAAAATTGATTGTCATATATTAATAAACCTCTAAACTATGAAATCTTTTTTTGTCCAAACTAATTCTCTGACCATATTGTTGCTACTCCTTCATGCTCTGGAACATGAATATTAATAGACAAAGAATCTTTAGGAATCATTCTGATATTTGATTTTAATTCCAACATCTATGAGTTTTTCATTATCCATTCAAGGTTTGTTTGATTTTCTAAAATAGCTAACTTATCTAGTCTTTCACTTGAAGCTCTAGGCCTAATATTATTTTTAATCATTTAATATTATATCAAATTATATGTTCTAGTATATAACATTCTTAATAAGTTTTATTAAACTAATACATGTAAATAAGTGTCAAATAAATAATATAAATATTATTAACTTGTATAATGTCCCTTTAAATTTCAAAAAATTTTTGCTGAAAATGATTAGAATGAATAAGTAAAACAAATTTATTAATTTTCTTTATTCTACATACAATTTAGATAAAGTCTGTATTAAATATTTTGAAAGAATACTAAAAATCTGAAATCAAATACCTTTTATTTTAATAATAAAGTGGAAATAATAAAAATAAGTTGAAGTAATGATTATAAGGCATTCTTAATGTTGTTATTTTCACCATTCAAAAAAGAGAAGTATTAAATATAATTATTAGATTTTCAAATGGTCTTTTTTTAAATGTAGAACTTTATATTAATCATAATTAAAAAGAAATATAATAATATTTGATAAAAATTTCTTAATTTGTGATTCAACATTTTATATATACTTTATTAGTTAAAGCTATATTTTTAAAGCAATAGTATTATATTTTTAAAATATTCATAAGAATGATTTACAATTTGAAGTGCAATTTTAATTCAAATATAGATGTTATGAAATAATTGATTAATTAGAGTTTTGCTTTTTTTAAGGAAAAATCAACAGAATTTATTATCAGAGAATTCATTAACATAGAAATTAAATTAGAAATAATTTTAGAATGTCAGGAATTATTAAAATTAAAAAATATTATTTAAATTTAATATCAGTAAATAGGGTTATCAAATACTCCCTTGTTTAACAAATTTTCTAATAAATTATTAAATAATTTAAAGTAATAAATAAAATATTGAAAAAATATTTATTACAATAAGCTTAAATTAATAGATATACTTTTAATTTTATGAAAGATAATCAAATTTAATTATTAACTTCATCAGTAAATATACCTATTCTCTAATTTTCTTATTAAAGTTATTTAAAACTTTGAACAAATTCGGATGGGTAAAGTATATAACTCATATATTTTTAAATTAATTTTTTTAATTCTAGATTTTATGGCTTGTTTGCTTTACTTATTTATCTACTATAATTATGTTAAGGGAAATAATCATGATAATATTTAATAGTCTCGAATTCTATTAGACCTTTTTTACAATATTTTTAATTGTTAACTTATTTCAAATACAATAATTCTATAGCTACTTTATCATCTATACTCATATTTTTAGTATATTTTAAATTATCATACCTTAATTTTAATTCTTCATCAAAATTAATATCATAACTTGGATTAAGTAACTCATATAAATAATTTTATTTATAGGCATTATTATTTAAATTAAATTAATACATATTCATAAGATTTATTCCTTATGATTACCTTCTAGATGTTAAACTATTCTATCTTTAAATACCCATACCATCTAATTAGTTATCAACTTCTTATTTTTTGCTTGATTGATTTATGATCATTTTTTTGTTATTATTTATACTTCTTTACATTTGATCAATATTGCTATCTGGAATATAAGAAATTGCTAAAACAGAGTCTTTTTTTTATGTTTATCTTGAATTTAAAGTTGTTGAAACTTTTAAATTTTCTATTTAAATATTCTGTAAATCTTTTATATCATCTTATACAACATTTTTATAAGATTGAACATTTAAGTTATTACTATTAAGGTTAGATAATTGAGGTAATTAATATTTTTTTAAAAACTACTATATGGTTTCATTAAACTCTGGATTAACAAGTTCAGATAACATTATTCTAGATAATTTATATTATCTTCTTGAAAATTATTACCGCTATTGTAATTAAATAAATTGCTATCTTTTAATCAATAGATCTCTTTAAGGTACATAATGAAGCATCGAACAATCAACAATTTCATGTCCTGATTAAAAACAAGAATCACATTATTTTTTAATGTAGGAAGATTTGAAGTTATATAATAAATCATCTTTTATAGAGCAGAACTTTTCATAATCATTAGGAAATTCCTTTAATTCTTATAAAAAATCTTATCTAGACAAGATCAACAATTTAGTAAAACCTATACTTTTAATTTTTAGTTTTTGATTTTTATTTTGAAATCCTAAAAATAAATTATCTAAACCTATAATATCATCTTTTTTTGCTTTTTAAATGACTAAACCAGATTCAATTAATAAATTTATTTCCCCTTCATCAACAAAGTAACATTAAATTTTATTATCTAATTCAATAATCTATTCTGGTTATAATAAAACAGATTAAACTTTTTGTAGTAAAATTTATTGTATTTAATGACTAAAATTTTAATTTAATAGAGAAACTTTAGAAAATATTCTACTATGAGCCTAAATAATAAGTTATTCTCTTAAATTTTCAGATAATTAAGATATTATTACTTTCTCTTCTTCTGTATCTTGTCCTTGTAATGATTCCCAATAATGATTTAAATACTATCTAATTTAATTCTGTATATTATAAGGAACTCTCTTTTTATTCATATAACTGTTGAGTGTCCTCAATTTATTTTTTGTTTCCTCCCCATAATCTGATATTTTTTCAATTATAGAACCAACTGTATTTATTGAATATGGAAGTTGTATACTTGATACTAGAATCAAAAATATACAAATAGATTTTTCCAAACCACTTTTAGGAGTAATATCACCATATCCAACTGTAAACATAGTTACACATATATAATAAAATGATTATAGGTATTCATCTGTCCAATCTATTATTGGAAGATCTTTAAGAGTGTCTAACCAAGTTTATTCATTTTATTCTCTACTATAATTACCAACCTTTAATAATATTTAAATTTAATACCCAAAACCATAGACAAGAAAATAAATGAATGACATAAAATAATAAAAGTAAGAATTTTAGTAATTCTAAACAACTTGAAACTTTTTTAGATAAATTTAATGCTAATTCATATTGGCTTGTTTTATAATGTACATTTATTTAGTGAGATAGCACACTTAATAAAATCAAGTATACAGGATTTTCAGTCACATTTATAATAGTATCTGTTGATTTACAAATTATAAGTAATATTATTAATATTATAGTAGATATCCACTCTAATCCAAAAGATTTAGTAATTTAATGTTTAAAGATTTAAATTCGATTTGTAATCAATGATCCTGCATTATAATAAGCAGTATTTAGACCAATAATAAAATCTATAAATAAAATTATTAGCATAATTATTGAAGATGAATAGTATCTATTGTATAGTAATGATCTGTTTGTCCATGCTAATTCTAGAGGGATTAGATATAAAAAGTATAATTTGGATGAAATTGCAATTATGTCCCATACTACAATTTTAGTACTTTCTGGATATAATAAAGGTAATGCTTTAATATACTATGTTAAATTATCTACAAAGGGTTTAATATTTATTAGAAGTTTCTTTGCTAACACTCTATCAATAAATAATTTAAACGACGTTTATCTTTAAATTAAACTAATATTTCCAATAGCTTTATCATTTAATAAGCTTAAATGAAAATTCGTAAGATTGTTTAGATTATTTTTTCGAGCAAGCAATATTTGAAAGAATTTTTTAGCATTATTATTTTCCGCTTAGAGACTTTTAAGTACTAGCCTTTCTTAATAATCTACAGAGATTTATCTTCCAACAAAATTAAGCAATCTTTAGCCTAAGCTTTTTGTACGTGAAGGTAAAAAACTACTTTTTCTAACAGGAGACATTCTTAAATGTTGATCCATTTCTCTTTAAGTTTCTAAACGTTCTTTATTTAATTATGGTGATTTCAAAATTCCACACTGATTACTCATGATAATTTTAATTAATTATATGATAAAAAAAACAAAATAAAAGTCAAGAATGATATTTTAATACTTATAATTATTTAAATATGCTTATTGATTTTATTTAACTACTTTTTTAATCAATAATTAAATGTTCTACTATTGTTAATTGTTTAGAATATTATTGCAATCTAATCTTTTGTTTATTTATGATTTGGTGTTTTAAAGATTAAAAAATTTATATATCTTTAACGCTAATGTGTGTTTTGATTAGTTAATTATATAGTGTACGAAATTAAGATGATGGTTAATATTAAATTTAATTTAAGAATTTTGCAATTATATATCTTCAATTTCTAAATTTATCGTCAATAATTAAAGTGGTTAAAAATTCTCTAGATTGGCAGATGAATGTTAGGCTATAATTTTTCCATTTGAAATGCGATTCCAAAATTTGATCTGTTTAGGGAATTTAAGATTGTTGTATTTTAAGAATTAATTATACATTATTATAATTTTAATTAAAATTAATTTGAATTGAAGGTGAATTGTTTAAATTGAATCTTTGTTGATCATATATATGGATTAATTCTTTGACGATTCACCTAAGTTTGAGTCAGTTTTTATAATGTATTCTACATTTTTTAGATTGATTTGAGAGAGGTGTTAAATCAAAGATGGTTTTGATGGAATGATTATCACATTGTTTTTTTTAGGATATATTAAATTATTTCGGTTGATTGTGTAGTTTCTGCTTAATGATAGAATGAATGAGTTTATCTTTAGGATTGACTTAGTTTAGTGTATTGTTTGTTTTATTAAGTTAATTATTTTTATTTAACTAATTTAGATTTTTAATTTATAAAATTTCAGGATTGATTTAGTTTTATATCTTTTGTTCTTAATGTTGATATGAATATAGAGAGAGAAGATTTACTACAAAATTGCTTATTTATTCTACAATAATCATTAAGATTTTAAAAGATCAAAATAATTCTAATATGTTTATCAAATTGTTTAGAATTGGACATTAAAATTACTTGGTGTAATTAATGCAAGCATCTGAGTTCTTTAATAATTTATATATTTTGATCTTAGCTTTAGGAATTATTATCTTTTCTTTTATATATTACTATTATGTGCTATTTTTGAATTCCTGATCAATAATTTTCAATCTTAAACATCTTGTATTAGTATTTCTTAAAAATAGTTTCATTTAATTCTTGGATACATTGTACTATATCATTATTAAACTTATAGGATAATACAATCTTATTTTCTAATATACTATGAAGAATTGTAACTTTTGAGGATATTCAAATTGATAGTAGACAAATTTTAGTTATTCATACTTTATTTTAGGTTTGATAAATGATTCTTCTATGATCATAGCAATTCGAATTCTTGAATCTTGATTAGGTAGTGGGATCATTAAGAATTTTATTAATTTTATTGTTTAAATAATAGTTCTAAGATTGATAATAGTTTTAAATTGGTTGAGATTTGATGAATGATTTAGTATTATTGAGGATGTTCATTATTAATAATAAATTAAATGAAAAAATAAAGTGAAGAGATTGTTAATGAAATTCGAAAAAGGCAACCTGATAAACCGTTGTCATTAACAGAGTTAGCCATGATCAGAGAAATCTAATATATGTATTTAAAAAAGGAGAAATGTGTTTTGGATCTAATAATATAATATTGTTGTGATTGTAATTTGATTTTTAAAAGTATGATTAGAACGATTCCAAATTAGAGTTTGTGAGAAGGCATTTCTAATGACTACAATTGTTCCATTATTGCATAGTGAAAATCCAGTTGATATCATAAAGAGTGGCACTATCATAATTGCTTGTTTAAGTGAGAATTAGGAAACTCATAAAAGAATTATAAAAAGTGAAAGTCTTTAAAGTCTCACTGCTCTCATAAAGAAAAAATTACATTATGAGATAACTAAATATGCATTATAAACTATAGCTAATCTTGCAAAGGTTGCTGCTAATTTTCGGAAGATTTTAGAATAGAATTTTCTAGATGATACTTAAGTCTTAGAATAAGTTTTACCTAATCAATCCTAATTATATGTTTTATAAATCATATATGAAATGACTTATCAATAACATACTTATCTTGATTAAATGTGCAAATTAATGTTAAAAAAGAGATTCATCAAAAAAATCATGCGTAGTATTGTTTCTGCTGATGTAGATGTTGCTACCTAAGCTATTCTAATAATCAAGTAATGATAAATCTTATTTAAATAGTTAATTGATCATAAATAGTAAAAAAATAGATAGATAATAGAATATTGATAATAAAAATCAAGAAAATTTAGAAAGCTCTCCTTAAATAGATAATAATAATAATAATAAGAATTTAAAAAGACTTCTTAAATTGAAACTACCTCCTAAATTACTATTAACTTATAAATTATTTTAAGGACATGAGAATTCAATTAAAATAACTAAGTATTATATTAATTTTATAATTATAGAGCCATAATGTAAACTCTAGAGAATTTATTAAAAATAAAGGATTTTTAACAATAATTAGTAATGGATAGTTATTATATTTTATGTTTGCAAATGTTTGATACAAATGTTTATGAATTAAATTATTATGGTATATCATGTTTAGCTTATATGAGTGAATTGGTTGAATCTCATGATAAATTAGTTGAAAAGAAGATACTTGAATTGATGTATTAAATCTTAAAGGATTGTAAAGATTAAAAAATTAAATAATAAGCATTTAAAATAATTTCATGTATTTCTTTAAATCCAAAATATCTTCAGAATTTAATTAATATGGGTATGATTGATTTATTAGTTAATTCATTAAATTCAGATGAAAAAGCATGTAAGATATATAGTATACTTTCACTTAGTAATCTATCATGCTCATAAAACTTTCATAAATATATTGGGAATATTAATATAAAATTATTAATACATATATTAGAATTATCAGATCCTTCTAATCATGCAGTATTAAGAGCTGCTGCAAATACATTAGCAAATATTTCAATTGATCACACATATTAATAAAATTTTCTTAAAGATCCAGAAAAAACTATTATTTTAAAATTAATTTATTCTGCAACTGATATCATATTGATTAAATCAATAATTATTATTTTCACTAATATTAGTACTAATAGTAATCTCATAACTGATTTAGCTTAATAAGATATATTGAATTGTCTTTTTTTATTATATTAAAAAGATTATGAAGAATTAAGAGGATATTTATCTCGTTGTTTAAGTGCATTATCAGTTGTTCCAGAATGTAAGAAATTAATTTTGCAGAAAGGTTTCATGAAATCATTAGTTAATTCTATATATAAATCAAATAGAGAAACAAAAAGAATGATATTATTATCAATAATGATGATGTTATCAATAAATGAAGAATTTCAAAAATAATTTATTAATGAATAAGGAACTGAATGTTTATTATATTTAATGTCATAAAGTGATAATTTTCATGCTTATATAGCTGCTAAAAGTTTTGTATTAATAAGTAGAATGGAATCTTCATTATCTTAAGTAGCTAGAAAATCAATTTGTGAAAGTGTTGCAAAATATTCTCTTACAAGAGAAAGAAGAATATTGAAAGAAGGTTTAAGATTCTTTGTTAATATTATAATTCATAAACGTCCAAAGGCATTTATAATAAATCATTTATGTTTTCTGGCACATGAAGTATTAAAAGGTGATGAATAAGATGCTCAATAATTAGGAATGTTTGCTTTCATGTTATTATCAGAATAATAAATATATCATGAAACTGTTATGGCACATGATCATTTACTTTAGACAATAGCAAATAAAGTATTCAAAAGTAACAACACTAATGATTTAAAACCATAAAATGCTACATTTTTAAGTATTGCTATTATGAATTTGTCTTTAAATTTAAATAATTTAGAAAAACTATTAAATTTTAAATTTATTAAAGTTATGAGAGATATTTGTGTTATGTTAACAAATAATTAAGAAAAAGATCCTGAATTTGATTTTCGTACATATCTCTTTACATTTATACGTTAATTATTAAAGATACCAAATTTATAAGAGAAATTACCAGAAATATTTAAATAAGGAGCTACTTAAATAATATAGGAATTAATATTATCTAATAAGAGTTATTTTTTTAGAAGTTTGTTAGAAAGTATTAATATTTTAATTTCGATGTCTGACAAATATCCATCAGATATACTTAATGTAATTGTTAAATTAGCTGATCCTGATTATGAAATGGATGATGAGGAATCATTACCATTAAGAGTATATGTTTTAAATAGGATGTCTTATAATCCTCATTCTCTTGAGTACTTCAAATAATCAAAAATAGTACCATTTTTAAGTGAAAAAATGTAATAAGATCTTTCATTTTTAAATATATCTTAATATTTTTGTTCATTATTAGCAAATATATCAAAAGAAAATGAAATTCTTAATTAAATTTTTGAAGCTTAGATTCTTACATCTATATTTAAATTACGTTAATAGAAACATAATATTAAATTAACTGATATTATTCGTTTATTAGCACATTTGAGTTCACATCCTTCATTTAAACCAAAAATATTTAGTGATGAAATATATGCCAATATTTTTGATCATCTACAATAAGTTACTTTCTCAGAAAAATAAGATCCTTAAATATGTTACCCTGTTTTAATTTGTATTCTTAATATGACAAAATCAGATTATGGATTAATTAAAGCAATAGCAAGAAGTGACATTTTAAATTTTGTTAAAGTTTATATCAAAGAATAAAAAGGACCATAACATATTACTATTTTATGTTTTCTTACTCTTTCCAATATGCTTATAGATCCTGATATTCTTAAAAAAGAAAAAGATATTCCTTCTTTAGTAAATTAATTAAGATAATCAATTTAAGAAAATGAAGATTAACTTGATCCAACATAACCTGATTATGTTGTAGTCTCATTTCTCAAAGTCATGCATAATATGGTATTATAACATTATTCAGAAATTGAAGATAATCTTATTATGATTGAATGTCTATAAGATATATAGAAAATGTTTATCAAATTTACATCTTAAGAGATTTTAGGACTTATTTTATCTATTTTCTGTGTTATGGTTGAATCATAAAAAACATTATAAACATTTAAATCCAATTATCCAGTTATGATTAAAATATTTGATCTATTGCATCACAATTATGAAAAATTGGAATAATAAGAATAAAGATTTAGATCATCATTATTATTATTACTTGCTAATCTTGCTTATCATGAACATTCCTTTGATTTTTTTGAAACATTTTTAAATATAGAAGATTTTATGATCAAATATAGAACTGCTTATCTAAATCTTACTTAGGCACCTGATAGAGAATTATTATTAACAATATTAGTTAATTTAACATATATTAAAGAAATTTAATTAATTATGCCTAAATATGAAAAAACTCTTTAATTAATTAAAGAAATATTTTTATCAGAACATGATGAATCTACAACTAAAAGAATTGTATAATTATTAGCTAATTTATCTTTAAATTAAGATTTACATACATGGATTGCAAGTTAAGATATTCTTAAAAGATTACATAAATTATTTTTTGAAAGTGGTACATCAAAAGTTTTAAAGGAATAAATCTAAATTTTATTAGCTAATACAACATTTACAGAGGAAGTTCATGAAGTACTTATTAATAATGAAGCCATAAGAATATTTGAATAAATTGTAAATAAAAAAGAATCAATATAATAAGATACATCACATTAATAAGTAGTTTCTCTTGTTAATTTGGGACTTAATCCTAGAACTTATGCACTTATTGAAAATTAATTAAATATGGTAAATCTTCTATCCCTTTTAGATGAATGTGAAAAACCTTTATAAATTAGATTATTAAAGTCTTCATTAGAATATGTAATTGATAATTCTAGTTAAAATTTATCAAATAAAAAAGAAATCTTATAATAAATAATTGCAAATATCAATTTTTTATTAGAAAGTAAATCAAAATTTTTAGTATGTAAAATTGATCCTTTATGGTAAATGATTCTTTCAACTGAATTAATAAACACAGTCAGATTTGATAGAGAGAGATTAATAGGAAATTTTATTACTATAATAATATTCTTTGATATGTTAGAAGTTAAATGTAATTATTATAGTCATCTATGTGAATTAGCTGATCGAATCCCTCATATACTTGATTTTCAATCTATGTAAATGCATATTGAAAATCTATTTATTTTTAATTAAAATTCTTTGAATAATTTAAAAGAATTAATATAATAAGTAAAATAGAAATAATAAGTTGAACCTTTATTAATATCTAAATATGAATAATTAGTCAATCAATTCCTAAGGTTATTATCAAATGTTGCCTTTGCTTAAAAAACTTAGGTAGGATTACAATAATTTATGTAAAAGAAAGAAGTAGAAGATCATCTCTTAGAAATATGTTAATTCTCCCATTAATAAGCACCAAATCTTATTTTATAATCATTAGCCACTTATGCAAATATCTTTTAAATTGATAGTAGAAATTATTAATCAGTTTTTGAAATAATAGCTAAAAATTATAAATAATAAATAAAATAACATCCTCTCTATTAAACATTTTTAATTGGAGTAATAGTAGGAGTTATGAAAAATAGAAAATATTTATTATTTGAAGATGGTAAATAGGATATTGGTGATCTTAATGATTCAATCTAATCATACTAAAAAAATGCTCTATATTCAATTTAACAATAATAAACTAATAATTTCTTTCAAAAGAGAGTATCATCATAATAAACATTCATTAGTATACGATCTTAAGATAGTGAATATCCTGTTAATAAGGATATGAGTTTAATAATATCTGTTTTGTTGTATGTATTAAAAAAAGGTCATCCTCCAACATATTAATCTGCTCCTCCATTATTATTATAATGTTTAACCAATATTGCATATCATCAAGAGAATTTTAAATTTCTATTTTCTACAAAATTACCTGAATATTTATTCACTTATATATGTTAAAAAGAAAATATATAGGCAGATGGTTATGTTCATGCTTTAACAGCATTTATAAATATTAGTACAAATAAAGAGTTTTTCTTACGTATTCAAGCAGAAGAAGTATATAAATATGTAGTAAAATTGAATCAAGTGTCTAAACCATTAGTTATTTAATATAGTAGTAGTATCTTTATGTAAATGTTTGAATATAGTACTGAGAATGATGAAAATTAACATCTTGTAGAATTTACATTAGATTTTATGGTTAATGAAGTTCTATCATATGTTACATTTGAATCAGATCATATGGATTTATTTTTAGCATTTCTTGAAAGATTACTCAAAATATAAAAATTAAAATATGTAAATAAAATTATATATATTTTTTTAGAAAATAGCAAAAATTGAATCATTATTTTAAAAATTTTAGAAAACATTAGAAACATAAGATTTAACAAATGATAAAAAATTTGATAAATATTGGAGAATATGGAATATTTATAATTTTTTAATCACTTCTAAAGAATGTCTAAATTATTTAGTTAAATATGGATACTTTTCTTTACTTAAATCTAAATTAAGTTATTTTACTTCCTCATAATTTGATCAATGCTTAAGTTATAATACTCAAGCAGAATATTAAGAAAAACATAGAAATGTATTAAAATAATTTCAATTATTTTCTATTGTCTTATCTAGTATTGAAAAGATATTTAAAAATGATGTAAACTTAAAATTATAACCTCCTATTTAAAAATTGATATATTCATAAAGAAATGAAAAAGTATCCACTGATATTATAAGAATAAATGATAATGAAGCCTTAAAGATTTCATTTTATGTACCCTTCTTAATTATTGAAAAAATCTTACTCTCAGAAGAAACCTATTAAAATTAAAATAATATATTAATTGTTGTTGAAGTATTAAATTAAATAGCATTAATTTTAACTAGAATGGATTCGAATGGTGATATGACATTAAAATTTCTTATTGAAATATTAAAAAGAACACTTAAAACTTAAGTAGAAGATAAAACTCTTTTTTATAGCAATGTTGTTAATATCTCAATTAAATTATTTGAGAAATTTGGTGTTGACATATCTGGTCCAATTGAAGAGATTTTAGTATTATTTATATAACATTGGTAAGGTTCAGAGTTTAGATTCATGAATTCAGAAATTTATTAAAACTTTTTACGATTATGTGTACTCTTTAAGTTTAAAGATTGTTAATAAGATAAACCTTGTAATTTAGCTAATAGTGTATTATAAATAATGAATATTAATCAGACAACTTTTAGAGAACATGAAACTTAATTGTTGTTTTAAATGTTTTTAAAAAAACTTATAGCTGAAGTTGATCCTTCTGAATCATAAGAATTAGAAGAAACTATTTCAGAATCAATTGATTTTTTACTTGATTATATTTAGAAATAATCTGCAAATATTAAAGCATAATTAGAAATGGGTGATAAGAGTGTCACTGAATATTAGAAAACACTTTAATAATAAAATTTTACTATGTCAATTGAAATATTAACAATTCTAGTTTCATTTACATCTTTTTAAGAGAAAATTTTAGATTTGGAATTATTAAGTTCAACAGTCTAATGTGGATTGTTGATTTAAGAATTATTAAATTTTTTTGAAAATAAAGAATAATAATCAGAAGATTTAAAGACAGCTATTAATTAATTGTAGAGTTTTTTAAAACATATAAGTATCTTTTTAAGTTATACATCATTTTTGATAAAATTTCATGATGAATTATAAAGTTAACCTTGCATATAATTTATTTTTGAGAATATGTTAAAGAGAAAGAAATAAACTAAAATATTTTGTTTTAATATTATAGTTAATTTAATTGAATCACAAGGACCTAATTTTATATTTGAAGTATTATAAAGTATAGAAGAATAAATAGATAAAATAAATGCTAATAATTCATTATAAAAATATTCTTTAGATGCTATAGTTAGTTTAACAGAAGAAATCTATTAAAAAATTCAACATTATAAAACTATAGCTCCTAATGAAGAAGCTTTTTACTAATTATCAGATGATATTGGATTATTGTTAACAAAAATATTAATTGGAAAGAAGCATTCATTTTCATTAAATGGATCTGCTGAAATATTGATGAATAGCAAATTATAATAAGTTTAAATTAGGACACTATTTTTAATGATTAAGAAATTCATAAATTGTGATAATGATATTGCTATTAGAGATAAGAGTATTTAATTATCATTTGATATAAGTAAATAGATTTATGGAATGTTGTCTTCAATGGAATAAATAGATTGTAATAATGAGACAATTTAAAATTAATAATTTTAAAGTAAATTCATAAATATTAAATATACTTGGGATTAAGTGAGAAAAAATTAAACTTATTAACATTTAGAAGATATGTTTTTTTGGGAATAATTGGAATTAAGTGATTACTAATTTAAATTAATATTTTTAATAATTTGTTTTGAAAATATTACTTGTAGATTTAGAGGTGAATAGAATAATAATAAAATAGCATTACCTAATTCTGCAATAATGGTAAATGATATATTCTTATTAATTGATCCAAATTTAGATACTTTTTTAGAAAACTATAACCTTTAAAATCAATTAAACTTTTTATTAGTATACTATGCTGCTTCTATTAGTTATAGTTCTTTAGGAAATAGAACAAGAAAAATAGAATTTTAATAATTGGCTGAGCGAGATATGTCATTTCGAATCAGATTAAACACATTTGTAAGAGTACTAAGTGATAGTAAGATCAATATTCTTGCTAATTTTGCTGACTTAATAAGAGGACCAATATAAAATTTATGATTATGATAAAATAATTAATAATATATGTACTGCTTATATCTAAATGAATATTTCAAATAGAGATCAAGAGACTTTATTGAATTTATGAATGAGAGTTAGACAGACATTAATAGTACATTGATAATGATCATCTTTTCATTTCAGAGGATTAGTTTATTATTCGATTATGATAAGTTTGCTGAAAAACCATATATCGATTTTAAATTGCAAATTTTGGAACAATTATTTAATTGGTTTACATTACAAACTCCAATCTAATTAATTGATAGTTTAAACTTAAACAAAGTTATATCTTACATAATTTGTATATATTTATGGATGATCATCATAAACATCTTTACAAAATTAAAATTTAAATTTACATTAAAATGCTTCTTTACATATTACCAATTATTGATGCTTATGCCAATATTTAAACACTTAAATAATCAAATATAAAATGATGAAGATTTCATAATAAGTTTAATTATTTTTATCGGTATATTCATATGCTATATACTTTATTTTATGGTCAATAGGAATTACTTTTTACCTTAGAGAAATAAGTACTTAAGAAGATATTCCTATTTTAATTTTGCGTTAATAATTATTGATGTTGGATTAATAATTATGAAGTCAATGGTGAGCGAACTTATCTCATCCATCTTATTAGTGATGATGAATTTGCTATTTTTAATAGACTCAATTATTATTCAACCTTACAGTAATTAAATCAATTGTAAATATGTAACTGCAACTGCATTAATGTTTTTTATCTCTCTTATAAAATTAACATCTTTTTAAATTTCATAAACAGATATATTTTATTATATACTTTTATTATCATCATTATCAGTTGTGATAATTACATAATTGTATATAAGATAGATGAATAATTAATTATATAATTCACCAATGACTTAAGAAAAGATGCTTGCTATTGTTGATATTTTAAGTTAGAATAAAATAAATCCAATCTAATTATATTCCATATTATGTCATATTAAATTCAAACATAATATTTGGATTGAAAGTGATAATCTATTTTAAAAGATCTAATAAACAGTATTAAATCTAATGAATTTAGTGATTGATTAAATTAAAACAAAGGATTGGATTGTTATGGAGAATCTATAATTATACAAAATTATGTATGTTATAAATACTTGTAAGAAAACATAATTAGGATATATTGAATTAAAATAATATATGACAAATTCATAGAAATAATCTTTTTATTTTTTAGTTATAGCTAATATATTATAAGAAAAAATGGCAGAAAAAAAGAAATAATTTTAGAATGGTGGAGATTAAGAAAAGAAATTATAATTATGTGATATACGCAAAGCTGAATTATTATATGAAGATAGTTTGAGTTTAATGATTTCAATATTAGATACAAAAATTAAATTTTGGATTGATTTAGATAAAGGATATTAAAGAATTGAAGATTTTGCTTTATGTACTTATAATTTAAGTGAAAAGATTTGGAAATTAAGAGATATATTCTTTAATTGGTTTGCAATTTAACCAATGAAATTATAAGCAAGATTAATACATTTTAATATATTAGAATTAAAATTATTAGCAATTTTATATTCAGCAATCTTAAATGATTATCATGCTACTTTAGATATCGAATAACGAATAGATGAAATTATGTAATTAGAAAGAAATATATAAACTGAAAATGTTAATAATTTAACACTTTTTAATGATGAATTAGTTATGATTGCTACTAGTTTTGCAAGATAAAAGAGTTTAATCTTAAATAAAAATAGAGGATAATTGGCTTAATTTTTTGGTTTTAAAGATGAAAAAGATTTCTAAAATATATAATATATAGAATAATTAATGCCACCATATATATAATAGATTCATGATAAAATTATATTTAGATATATGAAAAAAGGATATTCATTATTGATTGAACATTCTAAAGAAGTTTATGTTAAAATGAAAAATAATTTTATAAAAGCTGCAAATATTAGTTTATTGCATATGTTTGAAAATGATTCCGATTATATAATAACAGGTGCATTATAAAAAGTCAAATAAAGTTATGATTTCCTTATATTTGATCGTCGTGGTAAAATATTAGGTATAAGTGAATAGCTTTTCAGTATTTTAGGTTAAGGATTTACTTTGGAATAATTATTAAATAAAGGATTTGTATATTTTTGGTTTTAAACTATTTTTGAATAAATAAATATGGAAAAGGAAATATTATTATAATAATCAGAATTATAAGGAAGAGGAGCACCTAAATCTATGATATTATCTCCTATCAATAATTTTAATCAATTATGTTAAGATCATGATTTTAGTAGAGCTAATAGTACTGTTAAAATACATGAATCATAAAATTATTTTACTGAAGTAAATGAAACTGAATAATAAAATTATTTAACATATGGTAATCACATAAATTCTATTCATTTTTTAAGAGAATAAAATCTATCATTTATCAATGAATTTTTATAAAAATTTAATTAAAGTAAATACATAGATTAAAATACATAATATTCAATTAAATATTAGTTATCATTTAATGTTTTAGGTGGTGATATTCTTCCTTAATTTGTATTGTAAATTAATGATATTGAAAAAATTAATAAAAAAAAATCTTTAAATCATCCTTCTATTAGTTATTATAGTACAATCAAAAAGACTCTTACTAGTGATCCCTTTAATGAATCTGATTTCAAATTAGATCAAGATGGAATAGAAAATGCTATAAGTTTCAATCCTCCAATTATAAATAAAATAAATTAATTACAAAATCCAGATATTGATGAAAGTTAAAAGAAATAATCATATTTGAATGAAAGTTAATAATAATAATAATTAGTTTCTCCAAGAGGAAATAAAGATATATTAATTAATGTAGAATACGATGAAGAAGATGAGGAAGATCAAAAATAAGCTTATGAAATTGCTAAAAGTAGTTCTTAATAAAATTAAATTAAATAGAATGTTGAAGAAGTAATATAATAATATAAAGAAATGGAATTAGAATTTAAAGATAATGCTAAGTAATCTTAATCTAGTGCAACATCAGATAGAACTTAAATGTCAGTATTCAATATACTTAGAAATTTGTAATATACATAACGCTATTAAACAACTCTTATTAAAGTATTTATAAATACAGTATTTCTCTTTCTTGTATTGTTATTCTTAGTAGTTCTCGAATTGATTATTGCTAGAGGCAACACAAATAATCTTTAATATTAAATTCCTCTTGTTAGATTACCTGATAAATTTAATAGATTATATTGTACATTTACTGTATTAGGATAAATAGATTTAGAAATTAGATTACTTGATTTTAATTATGGAGATTATTATGTTTATAGAATTATATAAGAAAGTTAATAATTAAGAGTAGAACTCTTAGAATTAATTGTAAATATAGAATAAGAATTCTCTATTCTTGATCAATAAGGAAAACTTAATAAAGCTGAAATAAAAATAGTTAATTAATACATTTATTAAGTTTAAAATATTTCATTTTTGTAATTCAATTAAATGGTTAATGAATATACTTAAGCATTAGTTACTTTATTAGATGAAAATGATGAACTTTCTGTAATTAATGAATAAATACGATTATTATTTTTGAAAGCAAATCTAAATAATTTAATTGATTTTGTAAGTAATGTAGTTGAAAATATTGTTAGTGAATTTTTTGCAAATATTGATAATTATGAATTTTTATATCTTGTTTTTCTATTTGTTCAACTTTTAATAATCATTATAGCTATATTACTTTAATTTAAATTATGGGTAGAACCATATGTTTATAAATAGAATATACTTCTAATGATTTGTAGAGTATAAGAAAAAGATGTTGAATTATTAATATTAAAGTATAAGTCATTTAAGGATATATTAATAAATGATATTAGTAAATGGAAATAAATAAATTATTTTAAAGAGTTCTTCACTTGTAGAATATCTCAATTAAGAAAAATTTAAAAATTAACACATTCACATTAAATTGAAAAAAAACAATAAAAATTATAATAAAGAGCTAAATTAAATTAAAGAATTTAAGAGACTTAATATTCCATAATTCATATTTATTTAATGTTATTCTTTTTATGGTTTATATTAACATCATATGTTTTATCATCATATTTATTTTAAGATATAAATATGAAAGATTCATTTCCTGAATTAAATTTGTGTATGAAATTTGTTAGATTTAAATAAAGATTTGATAGTTGTATGATTATTAGTTAATTAATAAAAAATTAATTATTATTAAGTGAATATTAGAAAAAGAGTGGTATATATTTATAAAATCCAGAATATAATAAAACAAATGGATTTTTTTAAGAGAACAATAAAATTTTATTAGCTTAATTTAAAACTAGTTTAGATTTATAAAAAGAATAATATAATTCAATTTATGATAATATAGTAGCATCTAAAAAAATAAGTGATTAAAATAAAAACTTATTATTAGGTTTATATTAAAATGATCTTTGTGATTATATTGGTGAATAATTGCCATTTTGTAATTATATGAATGGGAAATTTTAATATTTTCCAGATTTTCCAAAACCATTAGAAATAAATAATAATAGGGAACATCTTAAATAAGGTTTTAATGGATTGTATTAGGAGTAAGTATAAATTTAAATATTTTAGAATTTAAGCTCTATTTTCGAGTAAATTTGTAAGAGAATTAAATGGAGAATTAGATACTAATGCAGATGAAGTTGTTCTTTTTTTAGAGACTGCTGAAAATATTTAATTATTGATGCCATATTTTTTTGATCTAAATAAAGCAATAGTAGAATTTTATGCAACAATAATTTCGACATCTGTTGATATTTTAGAAACCGATTATTAGAAATATTTAATCTATTATATTATATTTGGAATAGTAGCTTCAACTATTTTATTTTCTGTGGTAATATATGCAACTAGAAAATTATAAAGATAAATAAGAGCAATTAGATAGGCATTGATATTATTACCACATGAAAGTTTATTGGATGTATAAGTTTATAATGCAATAAAGAGATTTGAGTAAAAGATGTGATAAATCATATTAAATTATAAAAACAAATATTTTGAACTAGAATATTCAAATTTTGTGTAAGTAAAATGTTTCAAGTTCTTTTTGAATTTCATCGAAATTATTGACATGATAGGTTTCATCATCTTCAAAATCATCTTCATTAAATTAATAAGGATATGTTTGATCATCTTATAAAATTGGAGGTAGCATAACTATTTATCTATTTTTTTAAAATAATTTTTCATTTCTCTCTTTTTACATTTTCATATGAAAGTCTTGTACCTTCTAAAATCTATATGAAATAAAATACCATTTAAAGTAATTTTTTAGTCTCTTCTGATTATTTCTTTTCAGTTTGTAGCTCTTCAATTAAACTATTTGAGTTTAGAGTTTATAATTACATGAATTAAATAATGATAAAAAAGAAAATGATAAATATCACAAATAATTCAATCAAATCACAAAGTATATTTATTCAATAAGTGAAATCTAAATACAATAATGAATTACTCTTTATTAAATTATTTAAGTTTATCATAATTTTGAAATAAACTATTATTTCCAAGATATTCATTAAGTTATTAACTAATTAAATCTGTTTCAAAATCTATATGATGTTTCAAAGAAGTTGAATAGAATGGATTTATAGAAAGACATTATTAACTACCTAATAATAGTGTAGACATATTGGACTACCATTAATGGAAGCTAATGAAGTTTTTTTATTATCCTCTCTACCATTAAGATTGTTTCTGCTTGAAAATTATGGAGGTGGAGCTAATAATAAATTAGAACTAAATATAAAGAATTATTAATATTACTTTTATTGATTTATAATACCTGATAATTGTTTTTCAATAGACTTCTTCATTTCTATACTATTATTAGGAATTAATGAATCATAATGTGTTGAACATCTGATCTCACTCCAATCATAATATCCATCAAGATTTAATTTCAAAGACTCAGCAACCTTTTTTAATTCAAATGTAATCATCTTATAATTTGGTTCACTCTAAAATTACAATTTACGTATGTAACTATAATATTATTGGATATTTAATACTCAAATATTTTTTAAAATTCTTTAGGTTAATCTCTAAATATTTCTTATTATAATCTTAATTTCATCTCACCTACTTTTTTAGTTCTATCATCATCAGTAACACTTTACATACTTTGCCATGGTAGCTATCTTTATATTAAATAAGATTTACCCTCTAATGAAGTATAAGATAATATACATCATAGATTCTAAATCATCTTTTCTACTCAATTCATGACCAAGATGAGCAGCAATAGATGCATATCTTGTAGTTCCCAAAAATGATCTATTTTCTCTAAAAGGACTAATAATTATTACTATTCATTACATATGTTTGTTATTATAATTCCTATATATTTTACTTATTCCAAAATCAAGCAGATATATTTTACTATTATCTTTACCTGAACCTAAAAGTATATTTTCTGGTTTGAGATCTCTATGAATTACACCTTAAAAATGGAGTTTTTCTAAAACATCAACTAATTATATGGCAATCAGTAATGCTGTTTTTAGTGTAAAGCGCTTCAATTATTTAAAATGATAAGCTAAGTCGTTTCCCAATAGTTACATTACTATAATATTATAACCATATTCTTCTCCTGACCAAATAAATTTAGGTATTCCATCAATAATACCAAGTTGTTTAAAAATTTATACTTCTCTTTCTAATGATCGAATATCTTCATTTTCTTCTTTTTCTACTTTTATTGCTACTTCTTATTTAGTATTTTAATCTAATCCTAGGAATACAATTCCAAAGGAACCAGCAGATAGTTTTCTTTGAATAATGAATTTATTGTTTATGATTCTATTCTAAAGTAACATTATATTTTTTTATAATGATTTCTAATTAAGAACCTTAACCAATAAAGGTTGTTGTAATTGGAGATAGTAGTGTTGGCAAGACTTCGATTCTATTGACGTAATTAATTATGAAATATATAGATATACATAGGATAGATTTCCTATTGATTATATACCTACTGTCTTTGAAAATTATTCTAATGTAATTTGTGTAGATAATACTTAAGTATAATTGTCTTTATGGTATAATAATGAATTGAATATCAAGGGATACAGCAGGTCAAGAGTCTTATGAAAGATTACGTTTATTGAGTTATCAATCAGCTAGTGCATTTGTTATTGTGTTTTCTGTTATTGATATGGATAGTTTCAATAATATTTGGACAAAATGGAAACCAGAATTAGAAAAGGCAGACAAATAACATTTACCAAAAATAATAGTGGGAAATAAATCAGATAAACAAAATGATCCTTAGAAATTCTAAATATTTTGGGAGAAGTGTGAACAAGAAAACTTAAGATATATAGAGTGTAGTGCTTTCTTGAATAACAAAATTAAAGACATATTTGAAGAAGTAGTTAGGATGACTATAAGGGAATAAATACTATAAACTATGATGAGATCAAAAAGGAGATAAGAAACAATAAAACATTAAAAATCTATATGTCAATTACTATGATGGAATATTTCCAATTAATAACATATTAATATTATATTATAATGAATACTTTAAGTTCAAATCCTAAAAAAACTATGTTTTATGCTGCTGCCTAAAGTATTAAATGTCTAAATCTTGTAGACATGTTAAATTAACATTCAAATTAATCATCCATGTCAAATTTAAAACGAGGTTTATTTTAATTGGCCTTAGTTCCACCTAATAATCAAAGAGAATAACTGAATCAATCATTAAACAATAATTCTGATAGAGCTAAGCAAAATATCTCTTTACCAAGAAAAAGCAACATTTTTTAATAGGATAGGGATAGATCACTCTCATATAAATTAAATAACTCCATTGAAAATAATACATCTTAAGAACGTTTACAGAATGCTTATAATATTAAAGGTAATTTTTAAAATGCAAATGAAAATCCAAGTTTTCTTGTTGAAAAAGAAATTAAAAAATAAGAGTATTGTTAAATCATTATATAGATTGAAAGAATATTTATTAAAATAAATTCAAGAAAAATAAATATAATAAAAATAAGAATAAGAACGAATCAAAATTGAAGATATTAAAGCTGAAGAATTAGTTAAAAGATAATTAGAAGATATTAGAATTAGATAAAGATCTAAATTTGAAATCCCTCCATAATCATAAATCTAAGGTAGTTTTTGATTGATATATTATTATATAAGAAAAATCTGGAATTACCAAGAAAATCTCAAAACCCTCCAAAATTATCCATTTCTCCTTAAAAAGATGGACTATTCATGTAAATCTATAAATCTAAATTTACAAATAATACATAATAAAATGATATACTTCAAAAATTAAGTAATATCTAAGTAATTTTAATATTAATTTATAGAATAATATTAATAATCTTTAATAATCATAATTGAAATAAAATGATGTTTCATCTGTTAGAAATAATATAAAATAAATGATAAGAAAATCAAGTTAATTACTTCCATAAAATAATGATCTAATTTAAGAATAACAACAATATTAATCAAATGATAAATAATTAGAATGTGAAACTATATTCATCCCAGCTAATTAAAAACTTAATACTGATATAGATACATCATAATATCAGCCATCCTTATAAGAAATAAGCAAATCTACTCATAATTTCATTTAAAATAATAGTTTTTAATAGCCATAATTAAATAATATGTCTACTATTAGTAATCCTATTAATAATTCATAACATTATTCATCTTAAAATTAGAATATCAATTCTATAATAAATCATTCAAGATTAACAATAAGTTAATTAACTTAAAGAGATAGATCTATATCTAATGAAAAATAGAGTGAAGAATTATTAGCTAAAGTTGATGAAATCAAAGATGAAATTAAAGGATTATAATAAAAATTAAAAAAAGTAATGATTATTTTTATATTTATAGCCTGTTCAAACTAATTTATAATTAAAATTACCACATAGAACAGCTATGTTAATGTAAATATCATCAAAAAAGTAATTATTATATAATATTCTTTAGTTAAATTTAAGTATAAAAACAAGAAGATCCAAAATCATCCCAAAGAAACTGATTTTAAGATTAATATTCTAATAATCCAAATATATATTTATATAAATTTGAAAAGAATGAATAGATTCTTATTATATTCACTTTAAAATCATTTTTTTTTTAGTTTTTGGTGTTCCATGATTTGAAGAACATATTTAACTAGGAGTTAAATGTCTTGATCTTAAACTTCTCATTGAATTTTTCAGATCTTCAAAATTTTTCTAACTACCAGCTAAACTTGTTCTTCCTTTAACAAAAAAATTATTTTATTATTGTTTTTCAAGTTTCTTTTTTTAATTACTATTATTAAAAGTCATTTTTGTAGAAAACATTTTTTTGGCCAATTCCAATAACAATTCATTTTGTTATGGAGTATTTCTTGCAGTTGTTAAACAAGATTTAGTCATTTCTATATTTCCTAATGAAGCTTGTCTTGATTTTAATTAAGGTGGTTTCTTTATTGTTTTAATTGGAATTTCTATTTTAGATCTTTATTTCTAAGCTGATGTCTATCTTGATGTTTAGATAGGTTTAGGAATTCTTTAAGTTAAAGGTGGAGATTTTAATTATTATGCTTATTTTAATTACATTTCTATAGTTTTTTTGAGAGTTCCTTAATAATTTTAGTACATCTATCTTTAAGCATCAATAGTAGGTTTTAAAGATTTTTATATAAGTTTATTTTAATTGAATATTTAAAAAGGCTTTGGTTAAATTTTTGTATCTCCAATTAATTGAACCAAATCTCTTAATACAGTTGTATTACTTATTTTAGATATGTCAGTTTATGTAGATTCAATTTTAAGATCTCTTAATAAATATTTAAGTTAACTAACTGAACAATCTTCAGAAGTGTCCTTTATTTTTGATTATGTTTATTATTTAACTTCCTCAAATAAACCCAACTCCATTTTAATTTTACAATACTGTATTTCCCTATTTTTTTCCATTCTTTTATTAATGACTTTACAATGAAAGTTTCTTGGAATATTTATGTGATACTTATAATATTCTAAAAGAGCTGGTATTCTATCATCACTTTCAAAATATCTATAAAATCTTTTTCATAATATTATATTTTATATACCTTCTCATGAATTCTGTAGGCTCATCTAATTATACATAATCTTTAAATCGAATAGTAGATTTAACTTATTTATCATCCAATATATCATTAATGTCTTTTTCATAATAAAAATTTTATGACTGAGAGTATTTGCAATAAAGTGCTCTTGTGAGAATTAAATGAAAAGATCCATCATTGTTCAATTTATCACAGAACATGCACTTATTAACTTACATTTTATTTTATTTCCTCTATATAAAAATAAATTATATAATAATAGTATTAAAAATAATATAGGTATGATAAATGAATATAGAAAATTAATAAATAATTTATAATTTATATGTTAAACTAAATACAATATGTATAAATAATCATTATATATAAAGATATTAATTATTATTATTTATAATTGTTTATCTAAGATAAGAATATTAATATATTATTATAAATCATTAAATTAGCTTTTTACTTATTATTAATATTTAATAAAATTACTTCTTTGTTTTAAGATAATCATTTAATTTATTATTAATAGTAATTTATTAATATATTTATTTTCTTGAATATATCAGATTTTCTAAGATTGTTAAGTCATTAAATTTAATGATATATATTAAATATATTGATTGTTTACATTGATTCTTATTTTCATATGAATATAAATTAATTAGTTAATTGATAAATTTTTTTATTACAATTTTAAATTATTTCAACATTAATAATACTATGATATATTCACTATAAAAATAAAAAAATATCTTAAGGAAATAGAGATTAGAATAAATATTTATTCAGATTATTTAAATTTGGTTATGGAATTCCATAAAAATTGAATACATATATATATCTCATAAGTATTTTAGAATTCAAGATTATAAAGATTAATGCAGTTTAACATTTAAATAATTATATTATGCTAAATAAATCAATAAAAGTAACAAAAAAAGTTATCATCATAAATCAAAAGTAATATATTATGTTAATAATCAGAACTGACATTATAAGTGAGAATACAAGTATAATAAATAGAGAACCATTAAGAAATAGTGTAGAAGAACAAAGGATTGATCAAAAGAATTCAAATTAAACATTAATGAATAATGATTTAAGTGAATGTAAAGTATATGTAATATGATAAGAGAAATATGATTTAAGACAATTACAAGAGATGTTAAATATGTATTTAAAAAACCATGAGAAAATGAAAGAGATCAAATTAATAGTAGATTTATTAAAAATAAGAACCAATAAATTAGAATAGAAATTGAGATAATAAGAAATGAAATGTAAATTAAAGAGAATTAGAAGAACATCAATTTAAATAGAAAAGAAATATAAAGTTTTAATTAATAATTATAATTTAAAGTGTTATTTAAAGAATTGTGATAAGAGTTATGGATCTATGGTTTCATTGAATTTACATATGAAAATTAAACATAAAAGATAAAGAAAAGTTTAAGAATAATAAAAATGATAAACTTTCCTTACTTATATATATATTTATTTTAATAACTCAATAGGTTTGGCCATCAGGTGGTTATTATAATTTTTTATTAGCAGCAGAACTCATTTCATTCTTTAATCCTGTTAATATACTTTCTAGAGTACTTTTGGATACCCAATTTTTTAAAATGCTAAATTTATTAATATCAATCTGAGTATAATTGAATTATAAATACCTATCCATTTGGTTAAACACAAGGAAGATTAATTTTAGTAACAAATCTGACTTGGGGAGCAACTTTAGGATATTATGGACCACATGTGATTTTAAGTGAATAGATTCTATTCTCAAATGCAGTCTATGATATAGAATAATAATATTACATTATATGGTCCAAGGATTGTTCCATTCCAATTTGTCATCTACATATCCTCAGCTACAAGTTTCAGATATATATTTTACCATCTTCTAATCCATAGCTTACAGTTCCATCTCCAATACCTTTTTCTCCATTTTAGAGTTCTTCAAGTAATCTAAATCTTCTTGGGACTTCTAGAAAGTATATAAAATTGATAATAAGTTACCTGGTGCTCCTTACATTAGGATTTTATTTAAAAAAATTATTATATGATATTAATTATATATTAAAATCGATATATAAGATGGAAATCATCAGATATTTTGAATTCTTTGTTTGAATTAGTGTTCTTAAGTCATAGATCTTAGTTAATTTTTAAGTCCTTAAGGATTTGATACTTTATTCATATCAAGATATTAATGTGGATTATTTAGAGCATCTAAAATAAATTTATCCCACATAACAGTAGGAATTTTTCTCTATAACATTTCCTTATGTAGGATACATAAAGGTATTTTTTGAGATGGATGAGTATTAGGTAATTTAGTTTTTTATGCTAAACATTTTGAATAAAAGATTCTCTATTATTAATTATATTAGTTCGAATTATTAAGATCAAGTTCATTTTGATTTATTTCGCTTTCATCAAATTATGATGTAGATATCTTTGTAAGAATTTCACTTTTGATATCATTTAATTGATTTCTATCTTGACTACCTGAAAATTTAGTAATTATAGTAGGTCTGCCATAAGCAGGACTTTGAAATTAAGAAGGAAGAGGTAACTAAGAAGTTCTACTCTATTCAGATTATTATTAGTATCGAAATGATGAAATACTATTGTAATTATTTTAAGTATTGTAATTACTACTATTGGAATTGATAAGATTAATTTTTTGAGTTTGAGTTTCAATTCTTTATGTACGTACTTCTTTTTCTAATGATGTTTATTTCTATAAGGAAAGAGAATGGAGTCTTTCAAGATAGAGAGCAATAGCAAGAGAACCTCTATAAGATTCAGTAATAGTTTTCAATTCTTGATTAAGATCCTGCAATTTACGAAGTTCAATTTAATTTGTATTTTAAATAATAAGGATCTGTTCTGACATTTCATCTGCTCTATTAAGATATTTAATATTATCTTATTTAGATTCTTTTTGATTTAATTGTAAAATAGATTCTCTCAATTTTGATATTTTAAAATTGATTTCATCCAATAATTTATTAGATTTAAGTACTGCAGTCACACTTTTAGAAACACTTAGACATTTCATAGTGTGAATATCAATTTCATTAATAGGAATTAGATTTTCACAATTCATACAGGGAACTGCATACATAGTTGAAGATGTTGTCTTTTGAGTTCTTAGTTATTGAGTTGAATGATAGTTTAGAGTAGACTTATTTGAAAAATAATCTGACTGCATAGTTTATGATATTAAAAATAATATAAACGAATTATTAGATGTAAAATTGCAAACATATTATCACAACTATTAGGATGAGTAAATTCTATATCCTATTTTCAATACTTTAAGTTATGTTATCAATAATACTTTTGATCTATGTATGAAATATATACAACTAGATTATGACAGATCCGATCCGAAAGTACTTAATCATTTTTAATTACAATAGTTTACATCAATCAATTGTTGTTCAAGCAGAAGTGATACTTACATTAGCTATCCTAATTGATATTTCATTAAGAATAATAGCAGAAAAGAAAGTATTTCTTTATATCTCTATTTTATTAAGTAATTCTTTAAAGATAAATGGAATATAATAGATTTAGGTTCCTTTATTCTTATTTTAATTTTATTACTTTTCTTCTATTTAATCAATAAGTATATTATAATCAATAATATTTAAGTGAATTTGTAGCAATAATTGACGATGTGATTGGATTAATTGTTATGGTTTTGAGATATATTCTATAAATTGTTAGATTAGCTCTTTTAATTAAATAGTAAGAATAGTATTAAATAGATCACATAAAGTTAAACAACTTTAATAAATAGATGATATCAAATTTGAATAAGTAGATAAATAAACTGAAGATAGCACAGATAAATAATAAGTTGATGTAAATTTATGATTATTATATTATTTTTTATTCAATAATAACAAATATGTATTATTTAATAAAATAACTATTATAATATTGATATTTAATATTCACATTTCTAATTATCTTATTATCCATTATAAAATCATCACATATAACTAATATACTATTCTTTTATATATTTAATTATTTCAATTCTATTATTCTAAATATCAATATTATTTTATAAGGATCATTCCCTATTTTTAATATTTTACTTCTTAAGTTTTCGAATATTTTATTTATATTCAGTCCAATTTTATCATCAGAAATCTTATAAAACAAAAAAATATACTATTTAATAAACGGCATTCCCTCCTTTTCTCACTTAATCAATATATAATATTCAACAAGATATCTTTTATTTCTTATTATAATTAGTTCAATCTCATAGCAAGCATAATTTATATTTACTCAAAAAGTCAAGAAATCCTTACTTTTAAATTCTCTAATAATATTATTATAATAATAAACCAATCCTTAAAATGAGTATTTTCTAGTAACAACAAAATACAAGAAATACCTTCAATTACTCTTAAAATTTATTGCATTATACAACTCTATAGAAAATGTGAGTCAAAAATCTAGATTACAATTTTCCTGGAGTTTCCCAAATACATATAGTTATATTTTAATCCTATACTTTAATTTCCTTAGATACAAATTCAAAACCTATAATAGTATCATGAATATATTTTAATCTGAGATCTAAAAATTACAACAACAAATAGCTTATTCTATAATTTGATATAATAAAAATTATGATTTAAAAATAAAACATTTTATAATTATTATTGATATTTTTGATATTGTCCTATGAAATATTTAATATTAATATGTTTCAAAATCATTTCTATAATAGATTGTCCTAGGACATATTTATTTAATCTTAACTAGTCTATTCAATCATTATTGATTATTCTAATCCTTTAGTTTATAATTATTTGGTATCAATTGGTTAAGATTGTTTTTGTTCTTAAGGTTTTTGTTTTGGTTCTTCTTCAACTTCTTCCTTTTCTTCATAATAATGAATCATTCTGATTAATTATGAATCAGAAACAGTTTCAAATTATTATAGAATGATAGTTGGAGTTAAAGAAATACAAGATAAGAATATGACAATGAAGACACTCTTTACACTATCTAAAATAGATTCTAAATGATGAGTATATTATGGAATGCTTGTACTCCAAGTTTCAGATGAGCATGTTGTGAATAATATTAATATACAAATTGTAATGTTAAACATAATTACAACTCTAAAATAGATATATATATATATACATTTATTCTTTGGAAAGTGTACTTAAATATAGTATTGGTTGCATTTGGGTAGTCAAAAGGACAGTCAAATAAGAGACTAAGGATATATAATAAAATCCTTCTATGATACCTTCTGAATTATTAGCATATTATAGAATCTAATAACATATTATAGTAATATTACATTAGCTGGTAAATAAAATATAATGAATCCTTGATAAACAGAATCAAAGAATATTAGGAAAAGTTTCTTTTTATTAAAATAATAATCTCTTTGACATTTGATAAATTCACTAGCAAACATTCTAATTACTCGATGATTAACATCAGAATAAAATGAAAATATTAAAAATCCATATAATGGTGTAAAATATGTTTAAAACATGAAATGGAAACTAGTAGTGAATAATTATGTGCTGGAATATCCATTAAAAAATGAGAAAAAGAATTCACACATAGTAATGAGGAAACCCTTATAAAGGATGAATAACAAGAATCCAGCAGTTCTGACATGTGTTTATCTAGCATGAGTTAATATAAGTTTGGATAATCCATCTAAATTAACTAATTCTATATGACTCATGGCAGAAAATAATGATGGATTTTTAGCACTTTAAGATTGAACACTTGCTCTTATAGTATTAACTTTGCATAAACATAAATCTTCATCATGTAATCCAACAGATACAATTGCTTAATTTTTAGATTAATCTTTTTAAAAAGTGATAAGTTATTCAATCTAAACTTTACTAAGATCATGAAATACAACAAAGGATGCTATCATAATAACTTCATAAAATTATGATCTTATTTCTCCATCTGATAATGCTTAATCTAATACTTCTTAATTAATAATTAACGTAATGAATTTATCATCAATCTTATATAAATTATCAAACACTTTAAATTCTCTTGTAGATTATTTAAATAATGGAACAGCTTAACTTTTAACACTATTCATTTCATTATGTAAATCATCTTTTGTGAATTCAATACATTCCATATATTATTTTAAATATTATAAAGTCTAATCTCTTTCTACATCTCTAATAAAAAACCATTATCTTATAATAGCTAAATTTAAATCTAATAACAAATGAAAATTATGATGGGCAACAGTCTAAAATTAAAATACTCCACAAGGTTTAATTTAAGTCATCAATTATTCTTCTGCAAATGGTGGTAATTATATATATTTTCTTTTAAAAGCAGATGATCCTAATTATTTGTACAATCTCTAATATTCTTATTCTTAGAATGTATATTCAAAAACAGCTTTACCTGACATAAATTATGATAATTGTGGATGTTCTTTACATAAAGTACTTTCAATATCTGCCTATAACACCCAAATATATCTTTTACTATTCATTTTCTCAAATAATTCTCTATCTTTCTTTATTCTATCTTATAATTATTATAAATCTGATGCTTCTTCATCATCTGATTCTAAATCCTTCTCTTCTAATAATGGCATCTCATATAAATATGCATCCCATTATTCAGTATTAACAATCAATTTAACTGTATATGTTCTTAATACTTCCTTTGGTAATAATACACTTCTTTAATTATCATCATATGAAAATTGTACACACTCACCCAATTAACAATATTTCTATATAGCCAATTATGTAGGATTTAAAGTCTTATATGGTAATGTTAATAATGCTCTTTCAAATACAAATGTACTACGTTCTTTATCATCACATTGAGCATCATATTCTAAATCTATTTATTCAAAAGCAGTTGATTAATTAACTTAAATTTAATCATCCATTATCTCTTTATTAGGTTTTGGTTCATATCCTTATAATTTAACATCATCATTATTCTTTTCATTATCTTTTTTTTCTCCTTATGGTCCTCCTAATAATGTAGCTTTTCCTACTCTTAACTTTGGTTCATTTAATACTTAACCATAATTAACAAACTTTGTATTTGCTAAATTATCCAATGCTATATAACTATTCAATTTAGTTAATTATCCTGATCTCTAAGGATCCATTCCAATATCACCATTTACCTTTTTTCTTGCCAATAATAAAAATATTGGTCTAAATACTTCTACAAATATTGGTACAATATTGCTAAAAATAATTAATCTATCAATTAATAAAGATATAAAATTATAATTGCTCTATTCTCTTATATAAAGATGCTTATCCTTATTATTACTACTCCAAATAGATCCTGCAATTGAAAATGTAATTGAAAGTACTATAGCAATTCCGATACTAAAAAACTCAGAATTTAATGGATTTAAATATAATGGTAAATTAAATGATAAAGCTTCTCTTAAATATTTCTAACGAGTAGATGAATGAAGTAACACACCTATCAATTAAGATGATTCCACAATTCCATTTTCATCAACTAAATGGTCTTAATTCAATTAAATATCTATTGGCTCAACTAGATCCAATCTTAATCTAGCTTTAGTATTTTCTGAAAATATTGGTAATTAATTGAATTCCAATTAACCATCAATATATGTTAAATCAGGTTCTTATAATTTTGGAGCAGCCACTTTATAAGTTTTTACGTCATCACCGAAATTGACTTAAGCATGTTCTTAACCCTCAGAACTTAGAATAATCATAGGTGCAGGTACTCTATCACCCTTTTTTAATTACACTATGCATCCAGGAAATAATCTAATTATAGTTCTACTGCTAAATCTTTTTTATGCGAAATCGAATACAGATACTAATTATCTATCAAATTTGAATTCCAATTCTAATTCCTATTTATAGACTCTATACCATAACAATGTTGGCAATGTAGCAAGTAATAAGATGTAAATAATAAAGAATTAAAATTGCTTGATAAATAGTTATAGAAAATTACATTAACTGACGTCATAGTATAATCCAAAATAGTAATGATTATGATAAATGGTAGAATTGGAGTCATGAATGAACGTTTAAATGACATTTTTAGTGCATTCTAAAACAAACTGCCTTTTTAAGTCAACATAGAAATTCCATAATAATCTGTTTTAGGATCATTTTATTGAATTCCTATCTTCAATTATTAACTAAAGATAGTATCAACTAATTCATCTCTATTTTCTTAACTAGCTGGGAATTATTCTGTAGTTCCTTTCCCTATTGGATGTACAGAAAATTCTAAACTATTGTCAATATTTTTTCCATCATATTTTTAAATGACATCCAAAATACTTTCATCTTTCTTAGGAGTACTCTTCTGAGAACGATTAGATTTTGACTTTATGAAAACATCTCCTTCTTCTGGAGGTTATGGCTAATCTTCAGGATCTTCTAATTTCAAAACTCCAGGATCATCATCCTCCTCTTGTTATTCATCTGGATTAAGAAAGAGAGATTTAGCCATAGGAGCTACATAAATTGGATCAACTTTTATGCCCTACGAAGTTCCTGCTTCTTTACTAGTTTTAAACAGCTTGGTAAAATTGATTACAGGACCATCTTCACTCGCCTCTTAAGCTTGTTCATTGCTTATCTCTTATTATCTCACTTGCTTATGTTTAAATCTGGTAGATATTTTTGGCTGAACTTTTGGTGGAGAATTGTCATCATCTTCCTCAAAGGCAATAATATCTAATTAAGAAAGTACATACTGTCATCTTCTTCTGTCATCTGATTATTTAATATTTATTATATTATATACTTAAATATTAAGACAAAGATATCTACATTTATATATTGTAACAATATTATACAATTATTAATGATATCTAAACCTTGCTTGTAAGTTCACCTTTCAAATTTTTGATTTTTAATACAATTTTTTGGTTCTATTTTATATTATCTTCAATAAAACACAAAATTATTTGTATGTTTAATGTTCCTACAATATCTTCTGATCATATAATCAAATCTAATTTGGTTAATAGAATTTAGAATTTTATTAAACAATAAAAATTATGATGAATCAACATATTTCTCAATAAAATCTATATTGATTTTCACTTTTATAAGAAAGATAAATATAAGCTATTCAGTATTTTAAATTAATATTATATAATGAGAATAATAAAGTAATAAATTTTGAGATCAGTTCAATATACATAAGATATATATATATAAATTCAAATATTAGAATATTCTAAATTTATCATTATTTTTATTATTAATAATAATAATAATGATATAATCTCTAAATAAGTAATCAATTAAATAATATTTTTTCAATATAATTTATACATTCGCTCTTTGTTAACTACATTTTAATACTTTGTAAGAATTATTCTACATTTTAAGTATATTCCCCAACGAACTTTGCATAATTACACAATATAAATGTGAATGATTAAACTTTAGGATTTTCATAACCCAAAATAATTTAATATAAATATTCTAAATTTAGTTAAATTTTTTACATTTAATAAATGACAAACTTAAATGCTTAGCCAAATTACAAAATTATACTGAATATTCAAAGTTATTATTAAAAATATCCATGAATTCCAGATCATTCATAATTAAAGTATAATTCTCATTTAATAGTAATTAGCATTCTTAAAAATTATTGAAACTATCGAAATGTAATTCTAGAATTTATTTTTCTATATTTTTAAATGTATCTCTCTATTTAAAGATTTCGAAATCCTTCAATTCGAGTGTATTTACATTTCCATCAATTAAACAACTTTTCAATTAAGTTGTTATCATCATTATATTTTTCAAAATGATAAATTGTAATTTATATACAGTAGTTTATTAAATAGTGACTTACTAATAATCAAACAATTAGCTTCTTATTTATTTAAGTAATTATAAATATTCTATCTAATTTTGAATAATTTGTTTATTATTTGACAATTCATCATTCTCACTTCTCTATCTAATTAAAACTTTTTAATTTTCATTAAACATTTTATTCCCACTATTTCTAGTGCTTTATGGTTAATTGCCAATACTGATAGTCCTATCTTTTTTTTATGTTTCTGGAAGCATTACAGTTTTACTATGATTAAATAATTAACGAATTTCTTATTTAGGTGATTCAACTTTTGATAATATTTCTTTTTATAAAGTTTTTTATTATTTATTATATATCTAAAGAGGTGATTTAGTTTAAGGAGGTGAATTTACTGCAACTAATTTTGTGTTCATGTTTGAAGAATCAGATTCATTTTTAATTTACGAGGTAGAATGTTGAGATTTTTAAGATTTTTAATCTTGCTCTTTAATTAAGAATTTATTATCAAATAAAGGATGTGTAAATACTTATTCCCAACCTAAACGTTTTTATTCTTCATATTATAAACATCCCAAAATGAATTATTATGAAATGAGTGAGATCTTTTTACCTAAAATTAATAAACAATTAAAATTACTAAATTTGATATTGGTATTTCTCTGCTTATTAATCAAATCAAGAATATCCATAACATTCCATGGAGTTCTCCCTTCTATCAATTCATAATATATAAGGCCTACACTCCATACATCACATTTCGAAGTGTATTATTTCCTTAATAACACTTAAGGGGACATATATAAAGGAGTTCCTGCCATTGAATTCATTAGATCTCCCTCTAAATGTTAGAATCTTTTTGCAAATCCAAAATCAGCTATCTTAAATATGTTGTCAGAAGCAATCAAGATATTTGCAGGTTTCAAATCACGATGAATTATTCCTTTTTTGAAAGATTATAAAATCCCTTTTAAAATCTGAGTCAAAATTGGTAATGCTTATTATTCTGTTAAACATCCATATCTTTACATATAAACTCTCAAATCACCACCTGTGCATAATTCACTAACTATATAACAATTATTTGGGGTTTGGACAACATCTAATAATTTAACAATATTTGGACAATCCAAATCTTTCATTATATCAATTTCTTTCCTTAGAGATTGTTGATCAAATTACAAAGGTACAACTTTAATAGCAACAACTTAACTTCAATTTAAATTTCAACATACTTTGTATCGATATTCACTCCAACATATACAATCCCATAAGACCCTCGTCCTATTACAGCTTATTAACTAAAAGCATAATTAAGGATCCTTTTATCTGGTTGAAGTTAAGATAGCTGTTGAATTCGACTCTGCATGATCGTTAATTAAATTAAATATCATAATGATTAAACATTCAATTCTACTAACTCATTTCAAAATGCCATTATTAATAAAGAATATTTTAATCAACTTATTCATGAAGCTGAATTACCTTTTAAATAACATTACAATTTTATTAGAGTGGCAAGAATAAATTGTGAATTGAATTCATAACAAATTTAATTTTATATCAACGTATATTTATTTATATTCATAAATAAGTCTGTTTTCCATAAGTCTAATCATTTCTATTGATTATAGTTTGAATGATAAACTATAGACAAATGTTTTGTCTTAATCTAAAATTGAAATACTGAAAATGTGGAATTAAGAAATCAAGATAAAAAATAATAAATCAATAATTTTGATATTTTTTAAAATCTCTAAATTGTTAAATATACTAAATAATATTAATATTTAAATTGTTAAAGAATGCAAGTGTTATTGCATAGATTTTAAATTTCGTTCATTTGATTTTTACTATTAATTGTTCTATTTTGTTGCTTCATAATATAATGCGATTACAATTAAAAGAATATTAGGAAATAATAGATGAGTATCTTTGAGTATAGTTTTCATTTAATCCCTCTTGAACCTCTTGAATGGTAATGGATTAACAATATCAATCTTCAATTGTTTTTGTAATTCTTATCATAATTTCTTAATATTTACAATTCATTATAACTTCAAAAAGATTTGATAAGGTATTAATTATGTGGATTACAAATCCAAAAGATAAACATATCTATTTCAAAAGAATTTAATCTAATAAATATGATCAAGAGTTATGCTTTATATTTATATATGGTGAACTTAATTTTCTAAATCATTTTTTGAGAAAAACTTAATAAGTGTATCTATATAGTAAAATGTTACTTGCTGTTCTGATAATCAGCTTTACTGTGTGTCAAGAAGAAATAAATTTTAGTCTACAATTTATTTATAATATCATTTATCCTTATTTATATCTATCCTAATTAATAGTCGAGCACAAAAATAGATGGTTTGTTTGTAATAACCATTTGGAATTTCCTTTCAATAAATATATTCAAAATTATCTATTATAATAAAATTTATCTTCCTACTACTATTTATAACTTTACCAATAAGTCTCAATTATGTCGAGATTATGTTTTGTACAATTTAATGTATCTTTTCACAAAAAATTAGTAAAGATGAATAAATGAATTATATTAATTCATATGAGGATCATTTAGAACTATTATAGACTCAATATATTTTTGATATATAACAAACTGTTCAAATCAAATTATATTATTGGCAATGATAGTAAAATCGATTTTAAGATAAATAGTTAAAAAAAGTTAAAATTATAGATATATAAAAAAAAGGAGATTTTATCGTAATTTAAAAATAATGAAAAAATCAAATCCTATGAATTAATCTCATATTATTTCGGATAAAATAGCTAATTTAAATCAAATATGAAGATATCTTTATATTTATATTTCCTTTTAATACAAATTTATGATTTAATTTAATCATTATATAATATTTTATCAAAGTGGCTTTATTTATGCTTTTTTCACATGTAATTTTTTTCTCAAATTTTTACTTTATTTATGTAAAGTTAAAAGCTTAGAAAATTTTGCATTTTAATCTTTTATTGTTATAACTTCTTTTTTTATCTCTTTTAAATCAAAACTATCAGCTTTCAATTTATATTTATGAATAAAGGAATAAGGATACATCAAATATCTCACAAAAGACTTGAATATTTTTGGTATATCTAATAATTCTTATAATTTCACTTTATAAAATTCATTATAAATTGTTAAAATTTAATCTACATTATTATGAACACAATAAAATTTAAATTGTCTTACTGTTTCAAATTTCTCTTATGTTTCTTCTATATTTTAATGAAGTGATAACAATACTTACAATTTCATCCTTAAAAAATCCATCTCTTAATAATCTTTGTCTATACATTCAATATTATGATTTTGAATATACCTTAATCTTCTAATAATACCATTCAATAAAGATCTTTATTCTAAATCTCTATAATTCTCACTACCTAAAGAGGCTAAAATATTTTTTGTTTAAGCTTCTTATTTGCAATTTTGTTTAGACTTTTGACAACCTCAACTACTCTTTTGAATTTTTTAATCCCTTTAAAAGGTTATAAAGTGAAATCATCTACCAGTAGAGATAATGATTTTTTTGTTATCATATTTGACATAACACTTCTTCTTTATTATAAAGTTTATTATTTAGGAGAAGACTCAGATTGAAATTCTTCTTTTATTGAATCTGACAATGTATAATTAATAGATCTTATAAATTGAGGAGAATGCAACTTTTGTTTATCTTTATCAGAATCATCATCAATTTCTTCATAAAATAAACATTATTTATAATTATCAGCTTAAAACAATTTTGCTGTTTCTTAAATCAAATCTAAATCATGATGTACCGAAAAATATCCATGCTATCTTTTTTGATTTCTTTTATATTTTAATTTCATTGATTCATTCCTTTTTTAAAATCTAGAAAATTAATGTTTTTTTATTATGAACTCTTTGTCAGGAATAAAATGAACTAAAGGACAATCAATTACTTTATGAGAGATGCTATTACAGGAAAAACAAGTTAGTTTAAGAAATTATGAGTCTTCATTCAAAGTTAAATCATCATGCATTTCTCTAAATATCTCATAATCTTCAGGAAATTCTGGAATGATTTTCAAAAAGTCATCCCTTGATAACAATAATAGTTTTGAAAATCCTAAGCTCTTGAATCTTTCTCTTGCTTTCACTCCTGTTATGAAAGACATTAATCCAAGGCTGCTACCTTTTGAAACTGTATTTACAATTGATATAGAATTGTATGAAACATGGTTTTACAACATTTCATTCTCAATAAAAATTTGAATTTCTCCTTCCTCAACAAAACATATAAATTAGTTCAGCTTCTATTCTGGAAAAAAATGATTAAAATCAATTATGTTTTCAGGTTATACAACAATTGATTTAATCTTTTTCACTAATTTTTTTTTTAATTATTCACTAAAATAATTTTTAAATAAAGGACAATTATTCAAAATCATAGAATTTGCTTCAAATTATAAGTTTTCTCGAAGATTTTCTGATAATTAATTAATTATTTATTTTTCTTCCTAAGTTTCTTCTTGTTAGTTACAAGACCAATAATAGTTCAAATATTCTCTTATCTTAAATTATAATTCATAACTAATCTTTTTATTTTACATATAGGTATTTATTGTTTAAACCTTCTTTCTCTTCTCCTTTGTATAAAATGAAATTTTGTCAATGATAGCTCCTACAGTACTTACACTATAGGACAATTAAATACTGCAAATCATCATAAACATAATGCATAATACTGTTTCCAAACTACTTTATGGAGTTATATCTCCATATCCTACTGTGAACATAGTAACAGTTGAAAAATAAAATGAATATAAATACTATTCATTCCAATTCATTTAATCTAAGTTTTTAAGATATAACCAAGTTTTGTGATTATTTTTTAATTATAGCTCTTTCAAAGAAAATTTATAAAAAGATAAACATGAATTATGATAATTTATATTCCAAGATGTATATAAAATCTAAATTTTAGATATGGTGGGTATTAAAATGTAATAGAAATGGATGATATTTTTTTTCTTTAGCCACAAAAAAGGGTTTCCCTTATGTATCCTTATTATTTTATTATAAACCTCTCTAAATTATTTTAAATTATTTTTATTTTTTACTTAATTTTTTCAAAAGATAAAGTTGTTTAATTCTAAAATAATTTATTTGTATTTACCTTCTTAATATTATCTTTTTTGCTTAAAAGATAATTTCGATTTATAGAGTTTTTTTTTGCATTTTCACCAAAATACTATTATTTTTACTAAAAATCATCATTGAATTCTAAATTAGATGTGTATTATAATACTTTAAGAATTTTTTTCTACTATCTCAAATAAATAGTAATTTTTATGAGGAATTCTATTTCTATTTTAGTTTTTGTTTCTTTTTCATTTTTTATACAAATTACTGCATTTTACTGAAATTTTAACTAATTATTCAATTATTTGTAATACCATTAAATTAAATGTTAGGTACACGTTACAGCCATAACATAGAACTAGCATGAGGAAATCACTCTACACAAGTTTTTTGTCAGTTCAAGCAGGAATTTGAAAAAAGTTTGTGGTCTCGATAAACTTTAGAATTCTGTAATATGACCAAAAGGTCTGGTCCTGAAGATTTTCTTATTTTTGATTAATACTAACTATCTGCCCCATCGATTTTATAAGTTACATCAGCCAAAACTGACTTATATTCTTGATTTTTATGATCTTTTCTAGTAAAGTATTTTGTGATAGCAAAAAAGATAAATTTATTAATTTTTTTTGAATATATTTCAACAATAAATTAAGTCTGCAATAATAAATTAACGATATTAAAGTTATTCTTTATATTAAAATTTTTCTGTACACTTTCTATAGTGGTATCCAACCCAAAACCATAAACAAGAAAAAATGTGTAAAACAAAAAATAACAAAAAAAATAACTTACCCAATTCTAGTAATGAACTCATTTATTTTGATAAATTTAAAGCTTCTTCAATTTATTCTGATAATTTTGATATGTTCTTATATTAAATAAGAAATAAAAGTAAAGATAATTGATACCAATTTTATGTTAGGCTTACAGCTTAACTCTAAAATAGTGATATTATTAAAAAAATTATTAAAATTAAAATTGATACGATGTCTAATCCATAACTTTTTGTTAAAACATATTATACAATCTTTCTTCTATCAGTTACTATAGACCCAAATTCGTAAAATGCTTGATTAAAACTAATAATATAATCAATTATTAATAAAGCAAGCATAAGCGATGTAGGTACAATTAGAAATTGAAACATAAATTACTCCATTTCCCAAGCCAAATCAAGAGGAATGATAAAGATAAAATAAAATCTTGCTGCAGTCACTATCCCATCCCAAATTAATTTCAATTTTGATTCTGGATATATTAGTGGAATTTTATTTATGAATACTACCCATCTTTATTGAATTTAAGATGTCATTTATTTCAGTCTTGTAGAAAATTGGGTTTCTATTTTTCTAACTTGTTTTACAATTATAGGTGTTAATTTTATAGTGTTTTCTCTAAATAAATTGATGTCAAATGAAGCACCCAGATCATTAATTACCTCAAAGTGATATCTGTCAAATAAAGAGTTTAACTTCTTTTTAAATGATATTTTGTGAACAAACTTTTAAATTAGAAAATATTGAAAAAAATCTCTATAAACCTTCTCTTATGTTGTGTTTACATTTATTCTTTCTTAAGAGTGCGATTTTTAAGCAGATGAATGATTGCTTGGCTTAGTTTAATTTATGTTATTAGGAGAAATAGGGGTTGAATTTTCCTATTCGTTATAATTCAAATTCATTGAGTTTTCACTAACATTTTTTCTATTGTCTTTAAATTTGCTGACTGAAAAATAAACCTCAGATAATGAATAGTTTAGAAAATCCTATTATTCATCCTAAGGTTGCTCTGTAATCATTAACTACGGAATAGGTTTTTACATCAACTTAATCTTCAACTAGGAAATTTACTTTTATTAAAATTTATATTATTAGAAATATTAAGTAATTCTTAAAGAGTATATCAAAACAATATATTTTATAGATTATAAATATATTAATTTATAAAGATGTATATAATAGTAATTTGCCTGAAATTTATCAGGTCATTAACAATTTTACCAAATATTACAACAAAGGTTTCAGAATTAATTTGTTTAAGATGATTCATAAATAGCTCTTTAAAAATAAGTATGAATTTACATACGATTAGGTAACAATTTTTAAAGATTGTATGCATAATATTTATAAGAACCTTTTTTGGCTAAATTGAAAATATCACAGTTATTTCTTAATATAATCATATAATTACATCTCTAAAATCAATTCATTATATTCTAGTAAAAAAACTTTTTATAATTACTTCATTTAAATCTATATTCTTTTAAATTCTATATTTCAAGCCTTTATAATTTATTTAATGAATCTCTATTTTTTTTCAAACAGATGCATTTGCTTTTGCTATAAAATTCATATCTGGAAACGGATGTGTAATTTGATTTTTTTAACAGATTCTTTAGTTTTTCTTTTGGATCCAATTCTGGAGAATTTGCTGGTAAATTCAACACATCTATTGATTCAAAATAAGGATATATATTTATTAATTTTTTCATTTACTTTGCAACGAAATTAACATTATATAAAGCGATTATCTCAAATACAAAATTCCCATATTTCTAATTAAATAATAAACTATTTGATCTAGTGTATGAATTTGATTGAAATATGAAACTCTCTAGTGCATTTTTTTTTTTCCTCTAAATTACAAATATATTTTAGGTCATATAATGAATATAATCTTTTTATAACTTTTTTAGTTGAATAGGCATTCTTTTTGTTATAACCCATTTTTTTATTGTTACCAACTAGTTTTAATAATTCTGTTAGTGGAAGCTCAGGAAAATTAATTCTTCAGTCACTTCTAGAAAATTGAAAATAGCTAACAACCTCTAAAATATTTTAATACAAAAATACTTCAAATTGAAATATATAATTTCATTTACATTATTATGATGTTTATACATATTTCTCAAATTCAAAAAAGTACATTTCATTCCAAAATTCACTAAAAATGGAAATAATAAATTTCGGGATTGGCCTATTTCTACTACGAAAATATTTTTAGAACTGGATTATTAAAGCGTCCCAACAGATTTTGATAGCTTTGTAGTTGGTGAAAATATTATCAAGCTCTGTTTAAAGTTTAAGAAAGGAGTCTTAGAAGATCACCCTTATTAAATTAAAGATAAAAAAATTGATAGTAGTGAAGCTCTATTGCATTAAGATTAAAATTAGACAAATACTTTAAGATTTAAGTAGAGTAGATAAGTGATTTTTATAATTAAATTGTTATTCATATAAAAAATTTGATTTCCTTAATTATTTGATGATATTAATATTCAGAAATTGAATTTCAAATATCTTATATCAAAAAAAGTATGAAAATCAAAGAAAATTTCAAATAGCTTAATATCAAACTATTTCTAGAAAAAGGTACTGTAAACAATACATTAAACTACAAAGCTTTGGTTATAATTGTAAAATGCGAAGTGTAATATGATAATAATAAAATAACACAAATTTTTATTTTCCATATTGTTTCTAACAAACTTTAGTTTATTTTTGAAGTTTAAGTTTGAGATAATTTCAAATATAGAAAAATGATTTTATTGGGACTTTTATTTATCAAATTTGTATTCTCATATGAAATTGATGTTAACACATTTTCAAATTATCTTGATGTATAAAACAGGCATATTCATTTTGAATGGCTAATAAATATGGAAAAGAAATTGATCAATGCTACAGCTAATTATTAATTTCATGTTATTGGGCCATCAATATACAAAGTTAAATAACAAAACTATATTAGATTAGTTTAGACATCAAAGATTTGNGTATGAATTTGATTGAAATATGAAACTCTCTAGTGCATTTTTTTTTTTCCTCTAAATTACAAATATATTTTAGGTCATATAATGAATATAATCTTTTTATAACTTTTTTAGTTGAATAGGCATTCTTTTTGTTATAACCCATTTTTTTATTGTTACCAACTAGTTTTAATAATTCTGTTAGTGGAAGCTCAGGAAAATTAATTCTTCAGTCACTTCTAGAAAATTGAAAATAGCTAACAACCTCTAAAATATTTTAATACAAAAATACTTCAAATTGAAATATATAATTTCATTTACATTATTATGATGTTTATACATATTTCTCAAATTCAAAAAAGTACATTTCATTCCAAAATTCACTAAAAATGGAAATAATAAATTTCGGGATTGGCCTATTTCTACTACGAAAATATTTTTAGAACTGGATTATTAAAGCGTCCCAACAGATTTTGATAGCTTTGTAGTTGGTGAAAATATTATCAAGCTCTGTTTAAAGTTTAAGAAAGGAGTCTTAGAAGATCACCCTTATTAAATTAAAGATAAAAAAATTGATAGTAGTGAAGCTCTATTGCATTAAGATTAAAATTAGACAAATACTTTAAGATTTAAGTAGAGTAGATAAGTGATTTTTATAATTAAATTGTTATTCATATAAAAAATTTGATTTCCTTAATTATTTGATGATATTAATATTCAGAAATTGAATTTCAAATATCTTATATCAAAAAAAGTATGAAAATCAAAGAAAATTTCAAATAGCTTAATATCAAACTATTTCTAGAAAAAGGTACTGTAAACAATACATTAAACTACAAAGCTTTGGTTATAATTGTAAAATGCGAAGTGTAATATGATAATAATAAAATAACACAAATTTTTATTTTCCATATTGTTTCTAACAAACTTTAGTTTATTTTTGAAGTTTAAGTTTGAGATAATTTCAAATATAGAAAAATGATTTTATTGGGACTTTTATTTATCAAATTTGTATTCTCATATGAAATTGATGTTAACACATTTTCAAATTATCTTGATGTATAAAACAGGCATATTCATTTTGAATGGCTAATAAATATGGAAAAGAAATTGATCAATGCTACAGCTAATTATTAATTTCATGTTATTGGGCCATCAATATACAAAGTTAAATAACAAAACTATATTAGATTAGTTTAGACATCAAAGATTTGACAATCTATACGATTTATATGGACAATGGTGTTGTTCTTCACTATTCAGTAGATTATCCATACGCTGATAGTGACTAGGGCTAAAGATTGAACATAAAGCTTAAAAGGGAATATAAAAGGGACGAATTTGTTATTTTAACAATCAAATACTCAATTGATTCTCGTTCTGAATCAATTAGTTTTATGAATATATCACAAACATAAACCAAAAGTGAAAATGCATAAATATATTTAGGCATGCCGTACTTATTTACTTAATGTTAAGATGCTTATTGTAGATCTCTAGCACCATTATAAGATACACCTGCGATCAAACAAACATATTCTGCTACAATAATCTACAAAAACATAGAAGCAACAGATGTTTTTATGTCAGCTGATGAAACTTAAGAATAATTTACAATTTTAAATCATCCTTCGATTGATCCTAATTTTACTTGGAAGTATAAATATTTTGTCTAAAAAACACCAATACCAAGCTATCTAATTGCCATAGTTGCAGGTAATTTGTAAAAAGTACCAACAAGTAATGGTGGCAGAACCTTTTTGATTAGCGAGCCTGATAAAATTAATGAATACAAAGAAGAACTTAAAGATATGGAATAATTTTTATAGGCTATTGAATAATATATAGGACCATACACTTGGGGAACTTACACAATTGTGATATTGCCCCCTTCTTTTCCTTATGGAGGTATGGAAAATCCATTATTAACATTTGCCAGTCCGACAATTATGACAAAGACTGGTAGTGGATTATATGTTGCTATTCATGAGATGGCTCACTCATGGTTTGGGAATACCATAACATGTATTAATTGGGCAAATATGTGGATTAATGAAGGATTTACAGTTTTTTTAGAAAGAAAAGCTTCTTTATTTTATTACAAAGTTCTTGATGATATTAAATTAAATGCCATAATTGGAAATGCAACTATGTATTAAGATATTTTGGATTTGGGTCCAGATAGTAAATTAGCATCTCTACATCCTGATACAACAGGAATTAATCCATAACTATCGATTTCTGAAATACCTTACGAAAAAGGATTCTAATTCTTAACATTTTTAGAAGGAATCATTGGAGCAGAGGATTTTAAATATATGCTTAGATCTTATTTAAATACATATAAGTATAAATCAATTGACCAACAAGAATTCTAACACTTTATCCTTCGATATTTATATGAACAGCATGTTGATGATTATTCAACTAAAAGATATCGAATCCTAGAATATTGGGATACTTGGATTTATCAACCAGGATTACCACCAATTATTTTGGATTTTTCAACTAATAAACTTATTGAAACATAATAATATACAACTTCTTATATAATAGCTGATGGTAGGTAACCTGATAATTATGCTTAATACTTTAATTTTTATCCATCTTAAAAAAAGGTTTTTTTGGAGGAATTATTTAAAAAAGCCCAAAATAACCAGTTAAAATTAACTATTATTGAATAAATTGACAAAGATCTTTAATTAACTAATGATAATGACTATGAATTAAAGTTTAGATGGTTTAAAGCCATTTTGACTGCTGGAGATAGAACCCGTTTTAATTTAATTGCAAACTTCTTAGGAGAAGTTGGTACATGTGAATTATCCTGTCCTGTATACAAAGCATTAAATGAATTAGATCAGTATTAATTTTTATTTATTTAAGCGATTTTGCAGTTTAAACTTTTAAAACTCATTAAGAATTCTATCATTAAATTATCAGAAATAGCATAAAAAGTATCTTAGAAAAGAACATCTAACTTATTAAATGAATTAAATTCACATTTATTTTTTGAGTCAAATTAATGCAGAAGAATGAGCAAAAAGAGTCTTATTTCTATTTTGGTTTTATTATCGAATATATTTGATAAATACTGCAAAACCATTAATTATGGATGTTAGAATTTTCTAATAGAAATTTCAATATCTTAATGTTTTTGTATTATTCATAATATTGTTCAATTTCTCTAACTAAAACTATAGATGCCTTTAATTAAAACAGTTCCTATTACATAATTTTTTATACTATTATATTAAATAGATTTATATCCACTTTCTTATAGGCTTATAAGTTTGCGTAATATATTGATTTAAAAAACCGACTTATAAAAACCAAAAATCAAAATGAATTAAGAAATTTTTCTTATTTTAGTTATTTCTAAATTAAGTAAAATGAAAGAATTAAGATATTAATTTTTTAACAATAACAATAATTTATCATTCTAAAATAATATAATCATTTATTTATCATTTTTAATAAATCTTTTCTTATATTATTATATTCTTCCATATCCTATAGTTCAAAGATTGTGTCTTTTAAGTTAAATTAATTAGATTCAATTAATTTATTTAACATTTTTGACTTTTTCAATGATTCTTTTAATTCCTCTGATTTTACATCTCCTCTTACAAATAGTATATCATTTGGTTAAAATATTTAGAAATTTTTTTTTAAATGTTCTTTATCTCGATTACTTTCACTCAAATGAAAATCAGTAACAACTATACTCATTAAATTTTTAAATTTCCTAAAGTACTTATAAACAGAAAGCAATTTTTTTTTCATTAAATCAGTTCTTTCAAAATTAACTACTACAAATAGTGAAGATATTTGATTTGAAAATTTTAAGAATAAATTCTAATAATTTTTGATTTGAACCTCTCTCCAATCTATTTCCCCCTCAAAATCGAATCCTGTGGTGTCAACAAAATTGTATTTTAGATCTTCTAATTTATATAATGTAAATTCTTTTAATTATTTTTCGTTTGGAAATAATTTATGCATAATTTAAGTTTTGCCAACTCCTGGGGTACCTAATAACACTGCAATAGGGTAATTATTTTATTAATCATATTAAGCTTTTTATTTGATTTACCCTAAAATAGGTTATTGTTATGATTTCTATTATTACTAAACTGATTTTTAATCTTTTATATTTGAAAAAGGTTTCTATAATTTTTCATTTTTTTGTTATTGAGCTCTTATGACGATCCTACTTTTACTCTAAGTTTAAGGTACGATTTTTTTTTGATTGTTACCAGAATGAAGATTTTAAATTGGAACCAATTTTTGTCCTTTCCTCATTGTTTATTTTTATGATATCATTTCTTGAAGAAATTAAAGTTTAAATAAATTCTAATAGAATTTGAGTCCCTTTTTGAGTATTAATTAAATTATTTAATTCATTTGAAAATTTCATATATTAAATTTCATCATAAATTATTTAACTAATCAATAATATATCTAATTTAAATAAGAATTTTTAGGAAATGAATATCTTAAAAACAATAATAAAATCGAATTCTTAGAATTGTTTGTTTTAATCATATTCAAAAAAAAATATTGCAACGATTCATATTTAATTAAAGAATATTTGATTACAATCTATAATAATCATCAGCTTATATCACATGTAATCCTATTACCAATATTATTATTTTAAAAGAATTCACTAATTAAACTGGGAATTTTATTGTAATATATCTTATGCCAAATTACTCTCATAAATTTTAGTTTCTGTATTTTAGAATTTTAAATAAACTTGAAACCTCTAAAATCTATTAACTCTATTATAAACTAGATTTTTAAATTTCACCTCTTAAACATATACCATTATTATAGATAGCAAAATAATTCTTAACTTTTGAGGAAACTGAAACTCACATTTTATTTTAACATATTTTTATGATTTCCTCTGATAATTCATATTATTCTAGTTTGTCTTTTCAAAAATTGGTCATGAAATTAAATAAATTATTAGCATCATTATGAAAATTGAGCATTATTTAGACAAAATAAAATATTATAAGTATTTATTATAAAAATCCATCAAATTTATAAAAATATATTGAATTATGTGAAAATTAAAATAAATGAGGAGATTTAAAAGTATTTTTTTATTAAGCGGTAATTTTGTCATTTATATTCAGCATATATTGAAATTAGTTTTAGTTTTCTGCCGCTTCTGTAATGTATACTTTCTCAAAATTTATTTCATTTTAGAATATAAACCAGAATAGATATAAATGTTGATTGATTCTTATTAAGTGCTTTCAAACTTTTGAAATTAGTTTCCTGATTTTATATCCAGTATTACATTTAGATCTCTATAATCGCTTTGATTTCTAAATAAATAACTATTTTCATATTAGAGCATTTCATTATTTGTTTTTCATACCATTTTAATAGATAGGTTATGGATAAACCTAAATTTATTTTTACAATCATTTGATCCAGTAACAACTATATCCTTTATTTAATACTGCTATTTTCTATTTGATATACTCATTTAATTTAAAAAAGTTAGACTACAATTACAATATCTGATATACAGTTTTTGTTATTTTCAATCAGAATAATATCATATTATTTGGCTTAATTTATCATTATTTAAACAAAAAAACTAGCCTTTATTATGAATTTTGATATTAATTACTTTGTTAATATATGAATGTATTTATTATTAATTAATGGTTATCAAATAAACATATTATACTAATCACAATGTAAAATCAAAGTTTTATATTCATAGAATAAATTTGGATAATTATAGAAACTTGCTAATTATCAAAATGCCCATACTTCCTTAAAAATTCATTTAAAATAGATTTAAATGAAAATATGTTGTAAAAACTATTTTACCCAACCTTTATATTTACATTCGCAATTTTTTAAGAATTTATTTGATTTAATTATATTATCTATTAAATTAAATACAAAAATATTTTCAAGTTTAAATCAGATTTGATTTAAATGTGGAAAATAGATGGATCTTAACTTAACCTATTACTTTTCTGTAAAAATAATTCTTCTAACTTAAAAAAAGAACTCGCAACATAGATCAATTTGAATTCAGAAAAAAATTATATTGATATTTTTTTATAAAATATCATTGATTTTTCAATAAAACTTTTCAATTAGGTTTTCGATTATTAAACTAAATTGTCAACTTAGAAGCTTCTTCTATTAAATTATTGATATCTTTAAGTCCATTTTCAGAATTTTCAGAATAGGATTAATTAACTTTTTCTATTTTATCATTAAATGTTATCTATTCTTATTCGATAAACAACTCTTATGAAAAATTTGATTATTCTATCTTATCTAAAAAAGTTGGACTATTATAAAAGCATTTAAGATCTTTCAATTAATTTTACCATTATCCTACATTATTAATAAGTTGATCATAGGTTTCTACTATTTTTTATTTACTTGATTGTATTAAAGTCATAATTTCATTTAATTTTTCAATGTCTCTATTGATTGAATTTGTAAACTTTTGACATATAGGATTTGATTTGACTTTTTCTTAATGTTTAATAATTGCATGTTATTTAAATACAGTAACATTAATAATGGCTTACAATATTTATTATACTGAATTATCATCTTTTAATGAAACCTAAAAAGACTGAATATTATCAGAGAGATCAAGATTTATATTTTATTCTTAATTTAGTTTATCCATACGAGTTCCAACAATAACAAAAGGAAATTTATGTTTAGGATCTAGACCACATTAAATAGAAAAGGATCTCATCCAATTCTTAATTGTTGTAATATCATATGGATCTGTTAAATCATAAACTATAACACAGCATTGTGCTCTTCTGTAATATTAACTACATATAGTTTAGAATCTTTCTTATCCTGATGTATCATAAAACTAATACATTAAATATGAGTCTTTACTTATAAATTATATTATTTGTCCTCAATAGATATTTATTTTATTTCTACATCTATACCTATTGTTTTATAATAGTGTTCATTGAATTTACCAGCAACAAGTTGATTAAAAAGTGTTGTTTTACCTGCTCTAAATATAGATTATGAATTACATACCCTTCACCACCTATTATAACAATGTTGAAGGAACTCTGCTATTAAATTTACATGTGGTAATTAATTTAATTATATATTTGGAGTTTATAATTTTTTAATTTTACAAATTAAATTTGTTGATCAAGTAAGAGATTATGTTATAAAATCATCAAAACTGTAATTTAAAGTTATGAATATACTCATTATTTCAATTTAATGAATTTTAATCATTTAATTATTATTAAGCTTTTATCTCAAATGATTAATTATTTATTCTTGAATTAATAGTTAATACTAGCTCGTTTTAAACAAAGAAATTGATAAATATCAGATATTTGACATATGATTAGAAAAAATATGTTAATTAACATCCACCAGATGATGAATTATTTAAACACATATATTTGAAAATTAATTCATAATTGGTGAGATTGAAAAAATAGAATTAATTTAAATACATATTTTTTTGTTTATATTAAAAAAATAATGTAATTCTTAATTATTATTATAATTATTTATGATTAAGCAAAAAAAAGTTTAATTATATATCAATTTTGAATAAATTATTTATTCAATGAATCAAAGTTTATTCTCTTATGGTTTTTTAAATAATGGTAATCAATAAATGATTATAATAAGGTCTAGTATATTCAAAGTAAGGAAAGTTCAATAAGGCAATAAAAGAATCTAATAAAGCTATAGAAGAAAGCTTAGTATGCTGCTGCTTATCATAATAGAGGTTATCAAATACTTAAAATATCAGGTAATGCATATTAAAGTTTGGCCATTTTAAAAGAGGCCATAAAAGATTACACAATTCCTATCAAAATTAATCCCTTATATAATACAGCCTACTTTAATAGAGGTTTATATATATTTTAATCATAATAAGGATTAGTTTATGGAAAACAGGGTAAATTTGAAGTAGATATTATTGATTACACTCAATTCATCTAGATGGTTCCTGAAAATGCTAAAGCTTATATAGTTGAAAATAACCAATTAATTTTAATTCCTTTCATATTCTATTTAAATTAGAGTAATTTAAATTTAATATAATTTCATAAAATTGACTTCAAATAATTTACCATGTTGTAATTAATTTCAAAAACTTAAATCTTAAATTTTTATAAGATAAAATTTTATAATTAACTACAATATAGAGGTAATAAAGATAATTTAAGTATCAGCAAATGCATATTAGAATTTAGGAAATTTTAATGAAGTAATATTAGATTACTCTAAATCAATTGAAATTAATCCTCAATATTCAGTTGCATATAATAATAGAGGTAATTATCAATATACAAAGTTTTGGTAATGTATATGTAAATTGTGGAAAATTTGATGATGCTATTATCGATTGTTCAAAAGCAATATAATTAAATGCTGATGCTTTTTATATAAGAATTAAAATAATTTTAGAAGACTAGCAAATGCTTATAAAAATTAAGGAAACATGAAGAAGCAATAAATGATTATTCCAAAGCTCTTTAATTAAATTCTAAACATGCTGCAGCTCATTATAATAGAGGTAATAAATAATCTATCAAATACAAGGACTTATTTATTCTCATTAAGAGATGTTTGAAAAAGCAATAATAGATTATTCAAAAGCCATTGAAATATTGCCTACAAATCCATTATATTATTTTAGTTTTGATTTTTTTTACTTTTCCCTAAAATATTTTAATCAAGCTAATTAGAATATTTAAAAAAGGCAATTTAATGTTCATTAAAAATAACTCCATTATTAAGATATTAATTCTAATTATCCAAAGATAAAACGATTTTTCTTCAATCAAAAGTAATAATATCAATCTTAGATTAATAATATTGATATTATTTTATGATAACTTGTACCATTAAAATCTACAGAAAATTAAGAGGAAGTATTATAGAAACTTAAATAGTAAATGGAGGAAATTAAAAATTTGAATATAGAAATTAGTAAATTAAAAAGTAACCAAGATTATGAAATAGAAATTATCTTAATTAAATAAATCCTTTAAATTTTTAAGAAACTGTTACTAATTATATATAATTTACTAAATAAAGAGAATTTATAAATCCAAAAATGAAATTGTATTAGCGTTCATTATTTTGGCATCTTTTTAATTATTTATATATTATCGATGTAATTTCATCAGATTGTTTCTTAATTAATTATGAATTTAATTCAAAACCTATCTTGGAAATTATCTAAAAAATCGAGAAGATCAACAATCCAAAAGAAGGATTCATTCCAATAATCGATCAAACTTTTGGTTTAACCAATGCATCTCTTGATTTAATTGATAATATTTAAGAAATAAAGTGTTCAAGTAGAGTTTTCAATTTAAAGCAAATTTTGTAAGCCTTTGCAATATGTACATCTGAATATGAAAGAGAGATAGAAAAAGCTTCCTTATTTGATTGAACAATATAAAAAATACTTATGAAAAGAATCATTTTAATACATTTGAATTGTTTGTATAAAAGATTTCAATTTTAGAAATTGATTATGTAGAATATTCATAAAGCAATTTTGGAAAACTGGGATCTTACACACTTTGATAATTTTGAAATATTTAGAAGAGAACTATTAATATATAATAAATTAATCTTCTGTTTGTTCTTTTAAGGATATAATTGTTAGATCCATAAATGAATTTAATCCTGAATCCCTTGCTATTGAATATATTAAATAACAATAAATTGAAGATTATGTTTAAATATTGTATATTTTTATTTATTATAGCAACTTATTAATTGTTGAATTATCATTTGATTTCCTATTTTTAAAATAAATTTCTATAAAGTTTTCAAATATCCTTCTATAATTAGTATATTTAAAATATATTATATCTTAATAGTTAAATTTAAAAAGTTAAAGTTTTACTCAACAAAATTTGATTACTTAAAAGATATATATATTTAAATAATTTAACAATAACCTAAAGAAATCTATTAAATATTTAAAGAATATAAATATATTAGAATTCATGAAGGTAAATTTACACAAATCAATTTTCTCTATATTTTCTTACTTTTATTTCTTTACTAGCACTCTCATATGTGACTAAATAATTTCCATCGTTTGATATAGTACCAAATAATCCACAACAATTATCTTTATTTTCAATAGATTATTCTGTTTTGAATAAACCATTACTGTGAAGCCTAATTAAATTTACATTTTATCCATTTTTATTTAGCAAAATTTATTTTTCTTTTATGAATTTTTAAGGGAATAATTACGAACAATCAGCATCTGACTTTATGCTTACTTCTTTTTCAATTTTAATAAATTATTAACTTAATGTATTTAGTTCATAGATATGCATGATATTTATTTATTTAGGCTAAAATGTAAATATTTAATCAGTAATGAAACATAAACTATATCCATAATATTCAACTGATATCTTTTAGATTGTATTCCATCTTTTATTATTATCTAATGAGATTATTAATAACAATCTATCCTCACCACATGATATCAACTAATTCTATGATATGTTTAATGATAGACATCTAACTTTATTTGTATGATCTGATAACGTCTAATTGCATTTCCATAATTTATTCTCTTAAACCCAAAACTTAATAGTTTTATCGTTACTACCAGATATGATACAGTCTTCTATATTGTTCATTATTAAACAATTAACTCTATCAGTATGACCTTCTAATTTTTGATAACTCTACCATTATTTTTAATTATTCACCTACCAAATTATTATCTATTTATCATTACCAGCAGATAAAAAAAGAGAAGATTTTTGCATGAAATATAAACATTGAATGTAACTTGAATGTTCTTTAAGTAATTAAATTTCTTTTAATTATCCTGCATTGAATTCAAAGACCTTTAATGATCCATCATCTAATCCAGTAATTAAAATCGATTAGTCATTATTAAATGCGAATGTTCTACATTTACTAGTTTCTGAAATTTAAGAGATTATTTCATAATTAAATGGCTTGAAAATTTAAGGTAAAATGTTTTGCTTATTAAGTTATAACTTAAGGTTGACAATTTATGATTATAAGGAGAATTATTATTAAATTTATGATTCAACATCAATCTTATTCTTATTAAGCTTTTCATTATCAGTGAATGGTTTTATGGTATATGTAATAGATTATGAAAAAGTAGAGTTTATTAAATTTTAGAGTTGCTGCATTTGAGAACATATGATTGAATCAATAGCTTAATCTTTGGTTTAAAATTCTTATTCTATCATGTGATTAATTAGAGCTAATCTATTTTAAGAACTCAAAAGATCAACAATATTAATTAGATCTACTTTACTTAATTTCTGCCATGGTTTTTATAGTAACTTATGATGATATTCTAAATCATCATTTTCTAATTAAGATTTGATTTAAATTGATTCAATTAATTAGTCAATTAACTTCAAAATTACTTCTCTAAAATCTTTCAATTAGAGTATTATTTATGCTTTTTTACTTGAAGTATTTGTTTAATAAACATTAAAGAATGTTAAAGCTTATTCAGTATACTTCTCCCACTACTTTTATAATTATCCTAAATTAGTGTATTATATAACATATTCAGGAACACATTCAAGACAGGCTAATCTATTTTGAATACTTTTTTATTAAGATAAATCAACAAACTCTATTTATTTTTCATGCTTATCACATATCCAATCTGCTTTAATTTCTGTGTATTAATCTATAAAAGACCCAATATTAAATAGTTAATTCAAAGTCTCATTCTATTCACCAACATTTAAACTTGATACTAATTTTTAACACTTTTACAAAAGTTAACTATTAAATAGATTACTTATTTAATTTATAAGAGAAGATTATAATTCCTTATAATTAATGAATGAGCATAAAATTGAGCTTTTATCTGTATTGATATTCTCTATTTGATCTAATGAAATATCACTTAATTCTTTTTAGAATTTTATTGCGGATGCTTCAATTATCTAAATCCCAGAATCTATATTTTCTTTTATTTTATCAATTTAAAGATTGAAGTTTAATGCAAGATTCCCAATATTTTCTTTAATATCATTTAAAATTCCTATATTATAATTATTTAGTGAATTTCTTTCTTCTAATATTTCAGACTTAGTTTCTTAAAGATATTTCTTAGCATCATCTAATAGGATTAAACTTTTTAAGGTTAAATCTTTTTTTTTGTCAATGACACATTTATGGCAAAGTTTTATTGTCTTTTACTCTGATTTAGATCTTGCAAGAAATACAACAAATTCATTGTGATCTAGACAACGCAATATATTACTTTATGATTCCATTGTTAAGGTATAATATATTTAATAATTATAATTCAAAAAATTTATTCCCCTATTTAAAGTAATTATATTGATAAAAATTAAATATTAATATATATTCTCAGTATTATATGTATCCCTATTATTTTAATAGAATAAATTTAGAGCATATTATTAAGAATTCTTTAATGATTAAATTTAAGATGAAATTAAAAAAATTAATTATAATATATTTTAAATTAATCTCTAATAAATTTGGAACACAAGTTATTGAATCCTTATTTAATTTAAAATTTGGCAAATAGAAATTTAGTAGAATATAATTATAATTCATACTGAAAGTTTTATTAATAGATGAAGTACTACATCAAATTAAGAAATAATATAAATATTTAAATTTATGTCTATCTGCTCTTTTATAAAAATTATTTATTCAATAAATCTATCGTTCATTATTCTTCATTTCAAGATTAAATAAATTCAATTTTTCTGAATTATTGTTTTTAATTGGATATTTAGATTCTTTAAATGCACTTACAAAAGATATTGTAGTTTGTTTAAAAGTGTTTTATGATAAGAATTAACTGAATTTTGTTGAAAAGTTAATATTTATACAATAAAAATGAATTCTACCATAGAATTAGATATAATTCAAAATAGTTAACTAAGAAATAAATTTTCAGAAAATTAATCCTCTTAATTGTTTAATTTATTAGATATAGAATTTTCAAATTCTAATTGCTCACTATATTTAATTTGATATAAATTTGTTCTCATTCCATAATAAATTACGAGACTACATCATTATTTCAATTAATAGGTAATTTTATTATAATTCACACAAATTGGCTAATAAGATTATAATAAATTTAATAAATATAAAATAATAGTAATTGATACAAACAATTATTAGATTAACTTCTGTTACTTAAGTAGTATTATAAAGGCAAATATATATATAATTATTTTCATATATGATTCTATATATAAATTCAAGTTCAACTATTTAATAATGTAAATAAATTATTTAAATTGAATTAATTTTTAATAGTCATATCAAAATTCTATCTTATTTAATTATAATTCAATTTATATATTAATAATTAAATTCAGTTAATTTACATATGAATTGTTTTATATTTTCGTATTTATAATTATTCTAATTTCTCATCCCAAGTTATAAGATATTCACCATCCTCACTTAATTATCCATATTATTAATAATTATCAAGTTTTATAGAGTGTAATAATTCAAGTTCATTACTTATTGAATTAAACCTTATAAAATTAAGATTTTAACTATTTTTGCAAGCAAAGAACCCTTTTGACCTAATAAGTTAAGGCTAAAAAAATATATTGCATTGCTAGCTTAGAGATTAAACAGGTAATTATTATGTTATTACATATTATTAATTTTAATTTAATTGGAATAGTGATAGAAATTTAGCATTATAGGATTAAAATATGAAATCTTAATCATTTAAAAATAGGATTCGATAACCAAAATTAGAAAGTTTAATCTTTTATTTTAATATCAATTTATAAATTTGCATATATTTAACTATATCCATAATTAACATTGTATCATCATATCCACATGATATTGCTTTAGTTTATTATTAATTAATATCTAAAGCATAGACATCATTAGTATGATCTATAATTGTCTATTAACAAGACCATTGACAACTAATTTATTATTATTAGAAACAACTCCATAATTTAATTGTTTAATCTACACTTCCTGATAAAAACATATTTTAATCTTAGCCTATAACTAAACAACAAATTCCTCTCTAATGAGAATTCAATTTCTAAATGTATTTTTGATTTCTTAATTATGTTATTGATCTAATAATTATAACACTATCACATGATCCTGATATAAATTAAGTATATTTATTATAAGAAAAGAAATTGAGAATTGTGATATTATATCGATTTTTTGGTATTATTTAGATGAGTATTAATAATCCATTATTGAATTGATAAACTTTAATATTTTTATCATAAGCAACTAAGAGTAATTATTTATTTTGATTAAAAGCAATAGCATTGCACTATTCTTTTTGATTGATAGTAAATTAAGGCTGTAATTCATAACAAAATTCTTCTTATTATATTTGATTTTATTATAATTGCATCAATAAATGATAAATATATATAATTAATATATAATTTTACTTATATAATATAAATGAAATAAATTAAAAAATGATAATATATTTATTATTCTTAAAATAAACTACTCTTTTATAATTTTTTGAATATAATTGAATATTTTGTATATTTAGCATATTAACTCAAATACATGTTATCTAATAGATAGAATTGGTATTCAAAACCTTGAAAATAATTCAAAAATTCTTTAAACATAAATTACAGTTATAATTGATTAATAAGGGTTAGAATTATTTATAGATATTAAATTAATAAAAAATAATTATTATTTAGGATTTCCAAATAGTTGTAAAATGTATATCAATAATATGATTTAGCCATATGATAATATATAATTAATCAATTATAATATACAGATAGTTTTATAATTATAATAATAGTGTAATGTTTAAATAATATATAATTATTATGATTTAGTTATGATTTCTTTATCTATTAATTGAAATATTAAAAAATAGTAATGTAATTTATATATTAAAAGTAGAATGAAATGATTTAAAAATAAAAATTAAATTAATCTAAAAAAAGCATGATGAAAATATCATTTATTTTGTTTGCTACATTTTAGGTATTTAGACAATCAAAAAATATTTCGAATATTTAGTGTGCATGTTAATAGATTATTAGTGAAACAGAATGTAATAATTGGAATTGTTAATGGATATATACACCAGCTTAAGGAGTAATACCATAGACAGGTTATTGTGATTAAGTGTCTTGTGAGTAATTAAAATAATAATAATGTCAAAATGAATATACTAGATGTTACTATTAAGAATCTAATTCTTCAATTAGTTAGGTTTGTTATAGATTTTCTAAATGTGAAGATCTAATTCTAACTTCTAGATAAACATGTTAAGAACTTAATCCTAAATGTGTATAATCATAAATAAATTTAACTAAGTGTATAGAATCAGGATTGCAATGTTAAGGACTATCATAAAATTAATGTGGAGGTACATAATAAACAAATAGCACTATAACATTAGCAAATGAAGGAATGTGTTTTTGGAATGGATCATCTTGTAATGTTGTGAAATAATGCGAAGAACTCTCATAAGAGAAATTATGTACAAAAAAATGGTTATAAAATGCTTGTTAATGGACAGGTACAAAATGTGTTAGTTTAACATGTTCATCAATTTTATAATCTAATACATGTAAATTTGTATAAACAACTCCATTAAATGATGCAATAATTTAACCATGTATTTGGAATGGTCAATATTGTATAAATGCAACATCTGATTAATTAACTAAATAAACTTGTGCTTCTAATACTAATTATTTTTATAGATGGTTACCAGTTGATTATTAGAATGGTATATGTGCATAATGTAATAAATATCAATATTAATTTCGTAATGAGTGTGAATGTGATCAATTATTTCTATAATCTGAATGTAATAGTTCTTTATATTGTAAATGGAACAATAATACATGTAATAAACTATAATGTTCAGAGATTACATCATAATAACAATGTGCAATAATTCAAGGATGCTATTGGAATGCATTATTACTACCTTCTAAATGTTTACCATATAATAATTGTTAAAACATATTAGGAAAGTTAGACTCTCTTTGTATTTAAGCTTCTATTTATTGTCCAGGATCTAATGGTATTAATTGTTTATCTTAATAATAATTACCAAACTGTTCAAAATTATTTAATACAACACCTATATAACCTAATATCTGCTATAATTCTATAGGTAGTGATGGATATTGTACTTATGATATAACAAATAGTTCTTGTTCTAATATTTAAAATTGCTCATAATTGACTAGTTTATAATTGTGTAATTAATTTAATTATGCATGTATTTGGAATACAGATAATCACTGTTAACAAAAATAATGTAAGGATTATCACACAAAAGAGAGTTGCACATATATTCAAAATTCTATTAATAATTCTATAATTAATATTTGTTCTTGGAATCCTGATACTTAATAGTGTAATTACTTTAATAATTCAATTAATTATGATGTAAATTAATGTTACAATTAAACAGGAAGAACTCATCATTGGAGTTAAAGTAATGTCTAAAAAGGGTTATGTTTACCATGTTAGTTTTCTAACCTTTTAAATGTAAAATCTACATGTAAATGTAAAGATTTAATTAATTAAATTGATTGCATATCATCTTTTCCTAATTGTTTTTGGAGTTATTCTAATTAAACATGCAATCCTTTATAATGTAATTAATTAACAAATTAAGCTTAATGTATATTAAATTAAGAATGTTATTGGAAAAACTCACAATGTTATTAGTAAGTCAATTCAACTTCATCATTTTGTTCTTAATTAAAAGGAAATACACAATAAGAATGTTTAAGTCAATCCATTCTTTGTCCTGGAATCACAGATGAAGGCTACTGTTCATAATCAATTAATAATTGCAGTGATTATAAACTATATTATTAATGTTTTGGTTCTTTAGGTGCTGATGGCATATGTTAATGGAATTAAAATTAACTCTCATGTCTAGGTGTTAAAAATTGTAACATGATTAAAAATAAATCACTATGCAATAATATGGTAGGTGCTTGTTATTGGGATTTATATAATCAGTCCAATAACTGTACCTAATATAATTGTACTACTCTTTACAATTAAACTTAAAAATGTAATTATTATCTTAGCTCACCTAATTAATAATATGAAGTCAAATTATGTTATTTAAATGGAGATATATGTAATTCAACCACTTAAGTTAACAATCTAGATGCATATAATTGTTATAATTCATCTGGAAGAACCGCCGGATGGAATACAAGAAATTTAACTGATGGGAGTTGTGTATTATGTTACGATTAATTAATAAGCTCTAGTATTATCATCTTAATTTCTATATTATTTTGAGATATTCAATTTATAAGCTTGTCAAATAAATATAAAATTAATAAAAATCAAATATATCTTTCATTTATCATATTCTACTTTGTCTCTTCTTTATTTAATATTATCTAATCTATTTAAATTATTAAAGTAATTGAATATTTTTATTTATATTTTAAAGAAATGTATCTATCTAATATATTTTCACAATTATTTCTTAAAATTTAAGGAATTTTATATAAAAAAGTATCATAATGTTAAATGTATTCGATTACCTAGTATGTTTCTAATGATAAGATATTAAATACCAAATAGATTAATTATGTTACGGTCTTATTTAATTATTATTGAAATAATATATAAATCTATAAAGACTATGTAAATTAGATGCACAAAAGCTGACCATCGTGATTTATAAATAATCGGAGTTTGTTCTGATCCATAATGTTAATAATAAAGACCTTATTGTAATTTCTGTTTGCCAATTCATTTTCTACATCTGAATAAATTAATACCATAAGAATTATTAAATGAATGGATTTAAGTAAGAATGGAATGTATTAATAATGTATAAGTGATTATTTCATAATGTAATAAAGATCTTGAAAGCATTAGAAAGTTATTTAATCCATATATCAACTTTAATTTAGAAAAATTAAATGAATTAGAAATCTCAAAAATAGACTAATTAATAAAAGGGTTATGTTAAATAGAAATATTTGAGCAATTATTACTTTAATAATTCAGTTAATTAGCCTTATAACTTCAATAGATTGCAATGGATTTCAAAGATTTAATGAAGAATCAATATTCAAGAATATATTTACAAGAACAATAATCTTCTATTATAACACCATTAATATAATAATAATCATCAAATCATATAAGTTAATATTAATAATAAAGTGTTAAATCTTTAAAATTTAATCGTTTGAAAAGTAATAGTATAAAGTAAGATGGAAGATGTTATGCAATTGCCTTCAATAATGATGATTCATTTATTTTAATAGGTTGTAGAGAAAAGATTAAAGTATTTCAACATGAAAAAGGTAATTTGAAAGAGATATAATTATTAAATGAACATAAAAGAGATGTTAGTACATTAAATTTTATGAAGAAAACAAATCATTTTGTATCTGGTAGTGGTGATTAAATCATTATTATATGGTAACCAAATCAAATTAATTAATGGAATTGTTTATAAAAATTGGATGGGCATTTAAATTGGATTTCATGTTTAATTTTGAATAAAGAAGATAGTCTCATTATATCAGGTAGTGAAGATAAAACTATCAAATTTTGGGAGAAATAAAATGAATTTTAATTTCAATAAGTAATTACTGATCATTTAGGTGAAGTATTTTCATTAAGTCTAAATAAACAAGAGAATAAACTTATTTCTTCTTCTAAAGATAAGTCAATATTTGTAATTGAAAAGTAAAGTCTTAATAACAAATGGTTTATTATATAAAAAATTCAATTAGATTAATATGGATATAGATTACACTTTATTACTAATCAATAATTTATATTCCAACCTTATCTCAAAAAAAAAATGTATATTTATGAACTTGATATAAATAATAATTTGTATATCAAAAAATAAGAATAATTTGTATCATGTGGTTCAGAAGTTGATAATAGATTCTTTCCATTATAATATAAAAGACTAAAGCAGATTCTCATAAATAAAAATGGAAAGAGTATTAATGTAATGAGAATATAAGAAAATGGTGAATTTAGAATTGAGTAAATAATTGAATTTGGAAGTTGTGATAATTATGGGTAATTAAGTTAAGATGGAAACTATCTAGTTACTTGGGATAGTAGTTCAAGACAAATCCAAATACGTATATGCTAGGAAAAATGATTATTATGGACAATTTAAAGATATTAATATTTAAATATGAATATATTGATGTTGTCTTCATTAAGATATTCAGCTTAATATCTATAATAATATAAATCATTTGTATTTTTGCATATAAGTAAATTTTATAAAACAATTGCTAGTATATGTATGAATTATTCATAATTATAGGATATTTATAAATTAAGATTCTAATTGCTAACATAATATATTAAATTTAAATAATATATATTCACTAAGAATTGATTGGATAAGCAAGATAATCAAGATTTATTATCTTGATATATGTTTAATATAAATAGAAACTTAATTAAGTGACTATTTTTATAGTATTACATTTGAATTGATGATTTTGGTATATTTAAAGATGTTTTATTTACATTTATTGGTACTAATGTCTATAATAGTCAATAATAGAGATCTAATTCATAATCAATAAAAAATGTTGCTTGTTAATTCTATCAAATTTGTCTTAATAGAATTAATGATAAGATTAAAAAAAAAATTAAACATAATTTACTTTTTTTCTTATGAATCCTGAATATGAGAGAATAAAATTTATTTTTCCTAGTTTGGATAAGTTCATAATAATGGTAAAGTACAATCATATTTAGGATTTTAATAAGAAAATAGCCTTATAAGATTTGAAATTTACATTTACAAGTGTTTTGAAAATAGATTTATTCTCGAAGACACCCTAGTTTTTTATTTCTAAAGGGTTTCACTCTATCTAATTAAATTCATTCCAAAGTTTAAGTGGATAAACCAATTAGAATTTTTATTAAAAAGATAAGAATCACCTTGAAATTCAAGTTAAATTTTATGAAGAAGGAGCGTGAAAGAAAGTGATCAAGCCAAAGCTTAATTAATTAATGAAAAAATACTAAACATATTGATATACTTACAATATCAATAGTTATTAATTTATTATACCATTTTATTAGTATAAGAATGAATGTCTTAGTATAGACATAAGAATTATCACTTAAAATCCATGACTTGTATACATTTCCACTTTTAATTGAATATTTGAAATATTCAAATAGCAATTATAAAACTCTATTAACAATGATATTCTCTACGTTATTATTCATTCATACACAAATTCATAAGAATTATCACAATTTTTTCGTTTTCCACTTATTTTTATCAAAAAGAACTGTATTTATTAATATATTATATTTATTATAAAAATATTTTCTATCAAAGCTAATTCATTTATATATATTAAAAATTAAGCTAGCATTAATAATGTTATTCATAGCTTGAGCTTAAATTCAGTATGCTGGGAGTTGATAGAATTTGAATAGGAATTATAATTATAAATAAAAATGAATTCTAAATATACCTTTAATCTAATTCTATTACACTAAGCTTAAGCGTTAACACCATAATAAACGATTTCATAAAGTATTTCTATTCAAGGAACTTTAGTTAGCTCTTGATTAATTTTGTTATAAAATATTTCATTGAATAAATAACAAATTAGGCATTTTACAATCTAATATAGATTTAAAATTTCTGATCACATTAATCATTGGTTTTCAAATTTTTTCATTATTGATAATTGTTAATAGAAACATACATTTGATTAAGATTTTATCTAAGCAACAATTTTTAATTAGCTCTCAAAGAATTTATCATGATTGATTCATTTTCAATTTTAAAGTGTAAATGTGTAAACATCGTTCTTACTAACAATATTTCTTGTTATCCAAATAATATTGTCATTGTTACATAGCATAAATTCTTATTTTTAGTATTACTAATTATTCTAAAATGATAATAATCTTTTTATTATTAATTTTTAATTTAAGTAAATCAATCTTAAATCCTATTTTATAATCTTCATTATACCTCAAGAATAAGTAAACTTTCAGATTAAGGTAAGATAAATTAATCTATGTGATAATTATGCTATTCATCAATTAATTTATGATATTGAATAGAATTATCAAACAAAATTAGATGGATCTTTTGCTTTTTATTCTTAATTAATATTTAATTCTATTATTTATCTGTCCTAAATTCACAAATTTCCATACACTAAAATTATAATATGATGTTAAGATCATAGGTAATTTAGATTATTATTTATATTAATTTCATATAGAAGACTGAATAAATTCTACTTAGTTTAGTCACGTTGGTTATGATTTACATAATAAAAAATCTCAAGAATTGTTCTTTCAAATAATTTCACTTCAATGTAAATTTTTTATTAAATGAAGTAGTGAAAAATTAATTTTTTATCAATAATAATTATATCTTTTTGGACAATAATTAGGAAGAAATAAAATAGTAATTTTATTTAATACTATCTCTTATATTAAATTAATATGGGGGATAGGATTTTATATATTATTAAAACAAATTATCATTTTATCTTTATTATGCTATGAAAGAAGTGAAAATAAATAGTATTTCTTATTNAGAACTGTATTTATTAATATATTATATTTATTATAAAAATATTTTCTATCAAAGCTAATTCATTTATATATATTAAAAATTAAGCTAGCATTAATAATGTTATTCATAGCTTGAGCTTAAATTCAGTATGCTGGGAGTTGATAGAATTTGAATAGGAATTATAATTATAAATAAAAATGAATTCTAAATATACCTTTAATCTAATTCTATTACACTAAGCTTAAGCGTTAACACCATAATAAACGATTTCATAAAGTATTTCTATTCAAGGAACTTTAGTTAGCTCTTGATTAATTTTGTTATAAAATATTTCATTGAATAAATAACAAATTAGGCATTTTACAATCTAATATAGATTTAAAATTTCTGATCACATTAATCATTGGTTTTCAAATTTTTTCATTATTGATAATTGTTAATAGAAACATACATTTGATTAAGATTTTATCTAAGCAACAATTTTTAATTAGCTCTCAAAGAATTTATCATGATTGATTCATTTTCAATTTTAAAGTGTAAATGTGTAAACATCGTTCTTACTAACAATATTTCTTGTTATCCAAATAATATTGTCATTGTTACATAGCATAAATTCTTATTTTTAGTATTACTAATTATTCTAAAATGATAATAATCTTTTTATTATTAATTTTTAATTTAAGTAAATCAATCTTAAATCCTATTTTATAATCTTCATTATACCTCAAGAATAAGTAAACTTTCAGATTAAGGTAAGATAAATTAATCTATGTGATAATTATGCTATTCATCAATTAATTTATGATATTGAATAGAATTATCAAACAAAATTAGATGGATCTTTTGCTTTTTATTCTTAATTAATATTTAATTCTATTATTTATCTGTCCTAAATTCACAAATTTCCATACACTAAAATTATAATATGATGTTAAGATCATAGGTAATTTAGATTATTATTTATATTAATTTCATATAGAAGACTGAATAAATTCTACTTAGTTTAGTCACGTTGGTTATGATTTACATAATAAAAAATCTCAAGAATTGTTCTTTCAAATAATTTCACTTCAATGTAAATTTTTTATTAAATGAAGTAGTGAAAAATTAATTTTTTATCAATAATAATTATATCTTTTTGGACAATAATTAGGAAGAAATAAAATAGTAATTTTATTTAATACTATCTCTTATATTAAATTAATATGGGGGATAGGATTTTATATATTATTAAAACAAATTATCATTTTATCTTTATTATGCTATGAAAGAAGTGAAAATAAATAGTATTTCTTATTTCAATATAAAACAAACAACTAAATCTTAAATATTAATTTTTAAGGCCTTTTCATTATATGATAGATAATAGCTTCTTTCATATTTTCATCAATCGAATGGTTTAGAATTTAAACTCTCTCAGAATCCCTCTCTACTTCAAAATTCGACTTTTAGTTCGCGTTCTGTAACTCTTTATCCCTATTCTGTAGTCCTGGTCCGAAAGGTTGTTATATATAGATGACTATGGTGAAACTATTCCTGCTTATTCTTCCATTGGATTCCTCCCTTTTAAGATGGTTTTCCAAGTTACATTTAAAGGTGTTCAAATTGCTTAATTTTTAATTTAATTTTTTTACATGAGCGTTTTAATTTACATGATTGTCAATCGCCATTTATTTTCTTTAATTTACTACTAAATTCTTATTATCCATTTTAACATTTCCAATTTATTAATAAGCGAGAGTGAAAAAAAATTAAAACTTTCTTTTCATTAATACAAGTTTTATATTATCAATACCTACAACTATCTTATGGGCATTAATGATTATACAACTCTTAGGCACTTTGAGAGATTTGGCTCTGAGTACTTGATCTCATCTTTGTGAGATTTGATATAGAGAGATCTACCCCCATAGTAATTTTTAGTTTTCGAATATCTTTTGATTCTTACCTATAAATTTAAATGGGGTTGAGCAAAAATGAGATCCGCTTTTATAGATTGGGTATAGTGTGAGATGATTTATATTCTTCTTCCGACTGAGCTAAATATGAAGGTATGATATTTTTAATTCAAAGATATTTCCTTATAATACTTAGTAACAGTAATGATGTCAAGGTGTGTTTATATTTTAAAGATGAAAGATAAAGTAATTTCTTAATGATCCATTTTACAATGCTTTGGAAGTAAGGTCTATTCCTGCCTCGATATTAGTGTATTGAGGAATCTTTGGATAATTTTAATTGGATTTTGAACATTTGAGAAATAATTGATTTGGTTTTAAACAGATTAGATTGGTCCTGATAGGAAAAAAAAAAAGAGAAAGTTAATGAGTAATAAAGATTAATTTAGTTTCTAATAAATGAGAGAATTGATACAGTTTGTTTTTTCTTTTAAATGTTTAGAGGAATGATTTATTATAAAAATATCATTTAATACATTAATCTAGCATACTTTCCTTATTTATGTTTGGTCTGTTACTTATTTATAAAATTCTAGATTTTATATAGAAACAAAGAAAAATGGAAATGTTAGGTTATCTATTTATTTTAATTATAAAGAATCTAGATACTCATTTTTTTTAGGTATATATCCTATATTCAAAAGTAAAGTTATATTTTAGGTTGTACTTCATCCTGAAATCAAAGATATGGTGTTTCGAAATGATTGTAATATCATAATATTAGGATATCAGTAGATTAAAAGATAAATCAAATTAAGATTTTGATTTTTGTAAATTGAATATTTCTTATACATTAATATTCAATTTACATTTAAAACTATTCATGTTTTATAAATAAACTCTGTATAGAATTAGTAATTTATAAGTAAGTATAATTTCAAGAAACTACTTCAATATATATATATTTTTATTGGAAGAAATAACGGTATTTCAAATATAATTTGCATCTAAGGTAAATTTATTAAGATATTTTGATAATAACTTATAGAAGAATTCAGATTAGAGCTATTGTTATTCGTATATATATCTAAAAATAATGAAGTAAGATCATATTTTTGAACATAGTTGATGAGTTAAATCAAACTTTTTATTATAATATAATTGAACATAATAGTTTCAATTTATTGTGTAAATAAAACATCATTTATTATCATATTAATAATTCCTTATTAAACATAATTTGTCATCTTTATGTTTACAAAATTATTGAATGAATTATACAATGATGTCTAAACATATAATAACTAACTAAAGTAAAGGAAATTAAATAAATTCTGTTCAAATCCAAATTATAGCTTGAAAATCTCTTATATTTACTTTGATAAATATTATTAGTGAAAATAGAAGGTAAAATTGAAATTTATTATTGATCGCAATCATAAGGTTCAATTTCAAATCCTATTATTTATTTACTTTAAATCTTATAATATTATACCTAAATAATTTATATCATTTTAATAATTACTTAAATAACAAGAATTGTAATATAAGTAATACATAAAGAGAGCTTTCTCTTTTTCCAAATTATGTTCTATTCTATAATTTACCTCACTCTATCTAAAATACATGATAGCCACAATTCTTATTATTTGTAAGATGACGACTTCAAAATATAAATCCATAATAATTTCATTTGGTCTTGCTGAATCATCGAGATTGTAAGAACATGATGAATAAGATAATTTGAATTCGCAAATTCAATCATTAAAATGATATTTATCTTAATATTTTAAGTTTTAAATAGAATGAAAGTTAGGAAATATAGTCAAAATATAATAAAAATGTTAGTTTTTAATAGTTATGAGTGATTTATGGAATTGATGTTCTTTATATTATATCAATAAGGCCAATAATAAACTAGAAATATGTTTTGATGATTCCGATTTTTCACTCGAAGAATGATAAGTTTATTATATAGGAACTAGAATGAAGATAGTATGGATTAAATTATCAAATATATTTAAGACAGAAACAAATGAAAATCTTTTAATTTCTTTTGATATCTCCCTCTTATTTCTCATAATTGAAATATTTCAGTACTTTCTCAAATGTTATTAATATTAATATTGAATTATATCAATATCAAAAAAAAGAAGGAAAATTATTATAAATATAAGAACAATAACAATAAAATAATTATTACTATTCTATGCATTCAATTTTAATTAAGATTAAATAATTAAAAATATAGATATATAATAGAATGAACATAGTTTCTCATGTATTGAAATTATAAATAATGATTATATGTAAAATCCCTTATAAATTATTAATGCTATCATAGACCTTAAAAAGCCCAAAAATTCTATTATCAACAATGGTGATCTATAGTTAAGATCTAACTATTAAGTTTTTAGATTTTGTGCATATAATTGATTTAGATTCAAATGACATTTAAGAGCAATATAATTATTTATTAAAAGCTTTGAATAAAGCTCTAAAAGTAAACAAACTTATGGTCTGAGATAATTCTAGTTATAAGTCAAATACTTAAGAAAATCAATTGTTTTAGAGAATTTAGTAATAATTATAAAGGTAATCACAAATAAATTCTTTTGAGTTGATAAAAATTAGTGATCAGAGAAAATGAAAGAAAGTATTATTTTAATTCTTTAGCAAAACGAATATCTTATATCGTTTTGGATTATTTTTAATGCTAAACTTGAATATTTGGAAAAGCTATGATAAAAAAAGTAATGCAGATTTCATTTTAATAAATATACATACATCTATTTAATTGATAACGAATTATTAAGATAGATGAAAATATAGCTATAAATAAAAGGAATAAGTGTAGAAGTATATTGATAAATTATAATTATCAACTTAAAAATATCATCACTATTTATTAATAAATAAAATGTAGTATTTATATTATATAATTCAATTAATAATGGAAATTAAATTATTAATTATTTTTTGATATTATCAATTATGATAGAATAAGAGCTATAATGTGCTAATAAACACTAGAAACCTATTCTTAGTGTAATCTTTGATAATAAATTTGTAAAAAATCAAAAACTTTTATGTCATGAGTGCATGGAAACTTATACTTAAGATGCTCGAATTATGGGATTTAAAGCAGTTAACTAAATCATTGGAGATAGTCAAAAACAAAAAAGAGAATTTTTGGAAACCTTGATAGATAATGATTAAAAAATATTAAAATAAATTCAACTTTATTTAGTAGGATTGAGATCCACTATAATTTAAGAATTAAATTCACTAGATGAAATCACAAAATCTTGGATTCGACATATGGATAAATTTAAATCAGATTAGTCTGCATTTAGCTTCTTTGAAGAATTAGATAAAATAATAAGTTATGGATAAGAATAAGTAATTTAAATAAATAAAGAAACAATATTTAATGAAATTAAAAAAATTAATAGTTCATGGAGTATTGATTGTAATAATTAATTAAAAAAATTTAATTAGTTTGAAGATAGTTTGAAATGTTAAGTTAGTTTAAAAGATCTAAAAATTTAAGAATAGGACAAGCCTATTTCTAGTTAAGAAGAATTCTTGGGAATGTTAGATTCTACGTATAAGGCTATTAAATGCATTTTTAATTAATAAATATTAAATACTAAAAATGAACTAGTATACATAAAGCATGTTTAAAATGTTATAATAAAATAAAATCCTATTGAAAATTAATATGATGAATTCCAAAACATTTTTTCACTTTTTAAAAGAGAATTATCTGAAACTTAACAATTTATAGTCTTAGATAATAATTAATAAAATTAAGGTTATCTTAAAATCTTTGATCAAGATATTGCTAAGAGATTAAAAAATTCAAATGATTAACTACTTGATATGAATTAATTTTACAGAAAGTCGAAGGATTGTTTTGAACCAATAAAAAAGGGCTATGAAAATTCATTTAATCATATAAAATTTCATTTATATTTCGAATATGCAGATTTTTATAAGAATTTTCCACAAGAATTTAATAACATTATGTTTGATTAAAATGGTTGGATAAAGCTTTATAAAGAGCTCTATGATTTAATAAAACTAGATGTTGGCAATTCCAAATAATATATAGAGTGTTTAAGATACTAATCTTATAAAAATAATGAAATTTCTAATAACTTTATAATCACAGATACAATATAAAAGGTTCAAAACAACATTAAGGTAAAATATAACAATGAATTTGCTAAATTTGGAGTAATTTTATCTGATATTGGAGAAAGGTGCATATATTATTATTCAATGCTAATTATATGGATATTTGTTTGTAGAAAGTAGGAATTAAAACATTAAATAATAGCAACATTACAGAAATTATTAAACTGAATTTGAATAATCATAATTCATTATGACATAAGTATGATATTAAAGATTATTTAATAAACTTAACTTTTAGATGGCATCTGTTTTTTCCTACATACATAAATTTTTTTTTCTAATTTTTGATTTAATTTTTAGAAAGCAAAGTCAGAAATAATATCTTTTCTTCTGATACTTAGGACTAATCAACTGAATTACTAATGATCATTTCAATTCATATATAATTATTATTATTAATTAAGGATAAAATTATAGCTTATTAACTTAATTTTTCTAATAAAATTGAGAAGAATCACTCAATCAATGGAACAGCATTTTCTTAATTTCTATTTATTAAATTTGAACATAATAAACTTTAAAATAAAACTTTACTTAGATATCAATATCAAATTAAATTAATCTATCAATGAAAACTTTTGTACACAAACTTCGAAAGAGATGAGATCCTTGGTAAATCTAATTAAAGTATAAATCATAGATATCAATATATAAAAGACTTATGTAAATTAATTGCTGAGAAATTAATTAAAGATGTTAATTATTAAAATTTAATTAAGTTGTTTAAAGTAAAATTAATTTTTAAGGATAAATTACTGGAAATTAGTCAATATTGGAAATTGATTAAAGAGTAGTATAGAACTGAAATCTTATATATTTATTATTTTTTTATCTAAAAATAATTCAAGCTTAATCATTTAATTAAAAATGATAAAATTGAAAAGTAATTATTAAAAGTAATAGCTGTTTCTAAATTCCAATCTTTTTGAAATCCATTTAAAAATATGACATATTGTGTTTCATCCAATTTTCATTCTTTTAGGATTACTATATCTAAATTATATATCTAGCCAAATACATATAAGATAATGATGAAAATCAAAATCGATCGATGTCTTATATTTTTTACAAACAAATTACTTAAAATTAGAATACCAGAATGATTAAGTAATTCATAGTAGAATTATATTATGTAAGAATACATGAGCAAGCTAATTCCATAAAATTTTCCTTATTATTATTAAAAATTAAAACGTGAGATACAAACAACTTCACTTGAAATAGTAATCACTCATAATGTGAGCTATCTATAATTTTCTCCAGATATAATCATAAAGGCATATCTAAGCAGCATCTTTTTATGATATACAATCAATTTTGTCTTCCGAATATCAAAAATACATTTAGAAATCTATTGAAATATTTTATTTATTATTTTCATATATTAACAGGCAAAACTAAGAATATATTTGATCTTCCCTTAAGTAATTAAAAAATGATTGAAAAAGAAAAGGAAAAATTGATTATTTGTAATAAAAATTGGTCCATTCTTAAAATAATCAAACCAAAAGTTATATGCTTTAAATTTCTTTCAATTGATGTTAGTATACTGAATAATAAAATTATTAACTTCCTATAAGGTTGTTATCTTAATTTAAGTTCTAGAGCCATTATAAAAATAATTTCAGGTTAAATAAATAGATAAGTGGTTAGTTTATAATTATATTATCAATAAATATATATATGTTTCATAAATATTCAATTAAATATTGTGAATAATTTTTTGTTTAATAATCCCAAAAAACTAAATATTTTCCATTATTGGTCATTCCTCCATCAATACTTTATGTTTCACAATTCAATATCTATGCAATTTAAAATTTTCCAGATGTACTTTGTCTTATTAAATAGATGTGTTTTTTATGTCTTAAAAAGATAATATTGTTGTTTTAATTATAAACTATAGGACATAATCCATAATCTTCAATTTAATTATTCTCTATTAATTGAATAGATTACTCGTTATTTTCTTGGAATACACCATCCTTTAATTCAAATATAAAAACTTTGTCTAATTAATAACTACCAGTGACCCAAATAAATACATCATCTTTTAAAAACTTAACCTTGCATCCATCAATATCAATTGATTATTTAACAACATATTTAAATTCATAAATATCTTCACTTTTTTTCATCCAAATTATGATTTATTTATCCAAACCACACGATACTAATGTAGACTCTGATTAATTCAAACTTAAAGCATCAACATCCTTAGTATGCTTATTTAATGTGTAAAGATAATTTAATTGATTTTATAATAAATCTACCTTCCAAACATTTATAGTACTATCTCGACTACCTGAAAAGAGTAAATCTTCTTTTTAATTCAAGATCATGTTCAATACCCAGGCAGTATGAAACTCTACAGCTATAGTACACTAAAATTAAGTTTAAAATGAAGATTTCCATAATTTAATTGATTTATCAACTGACCCTGATAAAAATGCCTATTATTTCATGCTAAATACAAAGCAAAAAATATAATCACTATGACCTTCCAAAGTTTGAATATACTTATATTTTCCATCAATAAATTTCCATATTTTAATATATTTCCAAGAACTTGTTACCATAATTTATCCAGTCTTATCAAAAGCTATAGCTCTACATCGATCCTTTTGTTTGAAGGAATCAATCAATTAAAGTTTTATAGAATCTTATTACTTTTATTAATATCCAATATTTTATTCAAATTATTCTAATTAAAAATTTAAACTCTTCAAATCATCAATTGCTTTTTTACAATTACTATATTGATAAAAGTTTAGAAACTAATTTAATTTTGAATTAACTTTTGGAATCCATGTCTCATTAATTTATAAAACTTGACTATTAAGTATTTTTAGATCATTTGATTAAACTTAATTAATAAAATTATCTATTTCTTTTATAATACTATATTCTTAGCATTAAATACCTTTTTACATTAGAGTTTATATCCAATCATTTGTTGTCATTATCATTCCATCTAATAGTTGAATGATATTGAACCTTAACGAATTAAGATGATTTTTTATTACTTCTACTTGTCTTATATTTGTTAATATAATGTTTTCAATTATTTTTACTTTTTTGTTTTGCTCTTCTTCAATATCAAGAAAAATAGATTAAATTTTAGAAAACTTTGGCTTTTATTTGTAATCCTTTAAGCATTCATCACATAAGAACCTCTTTTCCATTTCTATATTTGGATCTAGATTAACAGATGTAATAGGATGACTGTGTTTTTTAATACATTACAGAGTATTTTCATTTTCTATCATTTTAGGTTTAAACATTTTCAAATAACTATTTTAATTTGTTTTTTTAGTTAATTGGAGATAAATAAGTATATTTAATTTTTATTCTTCAATAGATAAAAAGATTTTATAGATAAAAACAATAACCATTAGTATTACTATAATAATATAAAAACCTTTAATTATTTTGAATATATAAATAATATGAATTTTTTATCTTTTTCATAAATAAAATTAGAAATTAATTTTTAATCTTTAATATATGTACCCTACATATTTTTAATTCATTAAAATACTTATAATCAATTGATTATTCTCCTGTTAATGTCTAGGCTTAATAAATAATACATTTTATCATGACCTAAAATATGCTTTAATTTCTAAATCCAGTATATAGATGATATTAGTATCATTAAAAATTATCTCATTTAAAAAGGATTATTATACTTTTAATATAACTAAATTTTAAGTATTAAATTAAGCCATAGTATTTAAATGTGTAAAATCTACCAAAATCATAAGAATTTAAAAATAGAATTAAATTTTACAAGCATAAGTTTATTTATAGATGCTGATTTTAAAATATTAATATTATTGTAAATCAGAATCTCAGTTTGTATTTTTTATTAATGCAGATCAACAAATAATTAATTAGAATATGAAAATCATAATCATTAATATTATTTTTACAAATTATATAAATTTATATCAATGATAAACAATAATTAAGGATTAATTTATCGCTCAAAAATTATTAAGGATTGAAAAATGTTTTTGAGATAATCATTAATCACAGTTGCTTGATTTAGAAATATTAAATGATTCAGTTTTATCAGAGTTTTAAAATAAAAAATATACTTAGAGAACAATTGTTTTAAACTTTTTAATGAGATCATTCTAAAGGTCTTTATTGTATATTTATAATCAAAATAGATACTTAAATTTGTTTAACAAAATGATGAAGCAATCTATAAGGAAATGATAATATTTTAAAACTATTTTATTAATACAACAATCAAATAAATCATGCAAATTGTTGGCTCATAAGGACTATCAAAAATTTAAATATAAAAAGCCATAACATTTTGAGAATCAAATAAAAATGAAAAATTAAATCTAGAAAATAAATACAATTATTGGATTTATACATAATTTAACAACCTTTTTTTCATCCTAATTTAAAATTAATAATTATATTGATCCTAAAGATATTTTAGAAGATTAGTTTTAAAAAATGCTCAAATTATTAAATTTAATGTATTTCTACAATTTTTATTACTTGTTATTTAATCAAGAAGAATTATTTCAACTGAATAAGCAAACTATTTTAACATTTAAACGAATTCGATATTTTCTAATTCTTTGGAGAATGATAATTAATTAAAATATGAAATTCTCTCATATTTTGTAAGAGAATATTATATTTATATAAATGAAAATCCAATTGTATTAGTATTTAAGAAAATAAAACTAATTTAAACTACACTATTTATATACTTAACAATAATCAAATTCATTTAAGAATCATTGAAATTTATAATAAGCTTCAACCTTTATTATATGTAAAATTGAATTAACTGTATTACCTCCAGTATTATATATTCTAAATGATTCGACCTTTTAAGCTGGAAATTGAATTGTCAATATGCTTTAAGCTTAATTACTCTCATAAATCCTTGTTTCCACATTTTCAAATATTATAAATACTTCAATTGTATAAAATCTATTAGTCCTATCCCAAAGCCAGATTTTTAGAGTATTTAATTCATATTTTTGAATCAAATTTATTTAAATAGATTATCCTAAAGAACACATTAAAAAACCAAAATAAGAAGTTACCAAATAAATTTCATCTCTAAAAGGACTTCCATCATTATAATCATTAAACTAATTCTTATTTTTCGATGAGATTAAATCTCCATTATGATAATTTAAAACATTTAGATAATTTCCTCTTTTAGTTGAATTAATTCTAGAACATACGTTCAAGCATTGCAAATTGGCTGTTTAAATATAGCCTATTATTAAAAGATTAATCAGGAAAGACTGCTTCATAAACATTAATTGTTTGATTTAAATTTTTAATGAATTATTATTACTATAATATACAATGAATTCAATTAAAACAATTTAAATCTAATCCATTGCTTCAATTAATTATGCAAATAAATACTTAATTAAATATTATTCAAAATTAATGAAAACTATTATAAGAATTCAGAATTGCTATAAATAAAAATTCATAATAATTAAGTATTATTAAATAATCATTTACATTCAAATTTTACTTAAATTATTTGATCAAGCTTATTCTTAATCATTCTTCCATATTCACTATGACCTTAATGTGTCAATATCAAAATAACCATTTTGTTGATCCATAAATGCTTTGCAAGTTAAATGAAATATCATTGAACTTATCTTAAAATTAGAAAAAATTCAAAAATGGAAAAATGTCTCTAATTTGAAGTAGTTTGAATAACAAAATATTAAAAAAGTTATTATGCTAAAATAATTTAGATTTTAGTAATCTAAATTGTTACTAAATAAACAGCGATTTATACCAAGTTTTTTTAAAATATTTCAATGTGAGCCCATTTCAAGAAATCGTTTTTACATGAGAGTAATGAAAAAGAAATAAAATACTTTATAAATTTCTTTATGATAATTAGAGAGGAGCAAAAATTAAATACATTTACTTAGGTTAGTAATTATCAAATGATTATTTTTGGATTTTATAATAGCCTAAATCATGGAGTAATTATTTGATGATAATGAATTTTCATATTTAGTATTCTATCAAAGGTTTTTTTTAAAGAATTTGAAAAATTGTAAATAACTTTGATGATTTTTTAATAATTGAAAATTGTTAAGCTTATTTTAAATTCATTCTGGATAACCAAATATAAAGTTAATGAAAAGAAACAGTTATTTTATTAATAAAAAAAAGAGTTTATTGTATTCTATATTAAGATAAAAAATTAAAAGTTTGCATCAGGTTTTCAGTTTATAAGGATAATTAAATTAAAATTTATCATATATTTTTTTTAATATTTCTGGATTAAATAGTTTATAGATTTTGAAAAAATAATATTTTATGATTGGGAATTAAAAGTTTAAATTTATACAGTTATTAGAAATAAAACAATAAGCAATTTTATATTGTCGAGTGTAAAAACAGTATTATTTTATTTAGATAACAAATTTTAAAATTTATACAACAAATTATTTGTGATTAATAAATTATAATATATTAATTTCATATTGTTTCTATTATAAAAATTTTATGATTTATATAGGAAGATTTGTAGATTGTAATTAATATAAAAAGCAGAAATAAAAAATTTAGATGATATTAATCAAATAAAATGAGATATTATATCAATATTATAAGAAAATAGATTATAAATAAATCTTGTTTTTTTATGATATTTGTTAATTTAATGAAATGAAGGGAAGTCTTCTTAAAAATTATAGATAATTGATATAAAAATAGAGCTTTAGTTAAATTTATGCAATTAACTATGAATTCTTGAATAGAGTATATCATAATAAAACAATTAATATTATATTTTATTTTTAAACTGTTATATCAAATATCTATAATTTAAATTACTTAAAGGTGATTTTTTCTTTTGTATTATTTTTGTATTCTAAATTACCTATTTCTAAGATATATAATTATGAAAATTAAGGATGAGAATTAAATTGATATATTAGTCTTTGTAAACTAATTATTTTATTTAATAATATGTATCTAAAATAAAACTTTTTCATCAGATATGTCATTTTATGCATGTAATTAACAATTATAATTAATTTCTTAATCATCTTATAATTCAATTTCATATCCAATTGTTCCTAAATAAACAAATGAATCATTGATGAAAATAGAATAAGTAGTATTGATTTGTTTTATCTTAATCAAATAGCTTGATTTATAGAAATAATCATAAAATTTTCTTTCTTCTCTAAGATCATAATATTAAAACTGATTTATTTGAAGTATTTTTAAAACTAAAATATTTTCATTAAATTATTCTATTGTTGTTTTGTCATATTTTGAACTTAAAGAAATACTATTTCTTATTTACTTTTACAATTCGAATTTAATATAATTCTTCTATTGATCTAATATTAATTAATACAAAAAAGAATAATAATTACTTATAATCAACATTTTAATTTTAATTAAACTACCTATATTTATACATGAGATAAATTTTAATTCTTATATAAGGATTAGTCTACTAGTCACTTCTATTTTAAGTTCTTCAAAAATCGAAATTGAATATAATATATTGATCTAATTTAAATTGATTTAATAAATAATTAAATAATACTCTATTGGGGTTATAGTCTTTTATTATAAAGTTAAATATTGATTCTATGAGTCTTCAATATATATAATATCTAAGACATTATCAGGTATCTTTATTTTAATAAAATTGATATCTTCAAAAAAAATATAAGTTTGGAGTATTTGATCTTTTATGTGTATTAAATTTCCTGTTCTTACTATATCAGCTCCATAAATAAATTATATTTCGAAGATATCATTGAGATCTAAGATTAAATTGATATTTTCATCAGAACATTAAATTAATTGAATCTTAAGATATACATCTTTTATTAAAAACCAAAGATAATATGACAATTTTATATTGGTTATATAAATAATTTTTTATTTTGATTGAATGGTAATTTCAAGAACTTTATTTTCAAAAAAAATGGTTGAAAACATTAATTATCCTTCAATTTTGTATTATTTGATACAAAAATAAGATTCATTTAGATTACATTATTATAATTCATTTCTAAATTTAAAAGGCCCGTTTAAAATAATTGATGAATTAGTTATAAGTTTTAAACTATTAATTGGACCATAAAATATATCATTAATATTAACACTTAAAATTTAATTCTAATGAATTTCAAATATTTATAAATTTTTAAGTGCATGTAATTTATAACAATTGTTTTAAATCTAAAGTTTAAATTAAATATCTTTGTCTTCTTCTTAAATTTTTGGATAAAAGTAATACATGGATGATAAATTATATTTAAAATTGGAATATGTTTCAACTTAAACTAAAATGTCATTCAAAAGTATATATCTCCATTCGTTATTAAATGTAAACAAGAGACTATTTTAGTAAAATGTAAATTAGGAATCATCAGTTGCTATAATTTCTTATAATTCTAAAGAGGATTGAGTATATTAAAAAATAGCTATATATAGGTTGTTATTTTTATTTATTATTAAAATAGCCATATGCTAAGGGTTTATTTTGTACTTAAATGGATAAACAAATTAATAATCAGAAAAAGTATAATTAGAAATTTAAAGTAGTTCATGATCATTAAAATAAGTAAGGATTAATGAATTTGAGACATTTTGTATTGCTATTATAGAAAAGTCTTAATTATTTATTTTTGAAGTTAGAATGGATATAATTAATCCTTCTTAAAATTTAAAAAATCTAATACCTCCTTAATTTTCAACAGCTATAATATTGAGATATTATATAAATTATTCAAATCCTACTTCTTAATAAAATAGAATAGGTTCAGATTGATAAAGACCTTTTGGAAGATATTTACTATCTATCTTTTATTCAAAAGAGTTAATTATTAAAGGAGACAAATTTGAATTATTCATATAAAGAAATATACTTTTAGAGAATTGTTAAGCACTAATAATTAAATCATCAAAATATATTTTCTATTAGAGCAACTACTCTTCTTTAAATTAGATTATTCTTAATGAATTTGATGTATTTTTATTTACTATAAAATATGTTTGTTTAGCTTCAAGTACTTCAAATTAATTTCTATTGATTTAGACCAATAATTTATTTTGTTTACAAGAGTAGATATAAAAAGAATTTTCATTTTAAAATATTATGAAGTCAGGAATATTTAATTATCTCAATTCGATCTTAGTTTTAATATGAAATTATTGCAGTTTTGTTAAACAGGAGTCCAAAAAAATGTGATTATTTCCTATACTTACACTTATGTTACCCTCTTGATTATATAAATTTAATGAACTATTTTTAAATGAGTTTTAAACTTCTGAGCTTTAGATTGTTTGTTAGAATTTACTTTAACATTAATCTTAAACCGTAATATATTAAATTAAATTTTATTATTTTGTATTATTTTCATAAACCATTTTTAAGCACAATAGTAAAGTATTAGTTCTAAATAAATCTATACTCTAAATTATATAGAGATACTTTTATTTAGGTTTAATCCAGCTACTTAATTGATAATATCGATAAAATTATATAGCATTTTGTGTTTCATCAAATTAACAGAATAATTTATTAATTTCAAAAAAATGTAATGGCGTACTTTTGATTTGAAAAGTTTGATAAAAATGAGGGTTCAAAATAGTAATTAATTCTGTTGAATTTTACAAGAAAAGAATATTAGAATGAAAGTAAGTTTTATAATTTGAATATTTTTAATGTAAAAAGAGTTATTTACGTTCTAAAGGATTAAAAAAAATTAAATTGTGATCTTCTAATGGATTGACGATAAATATGATGGAGCATTTCTGTTATACTATTATCTTTTGTATACGTTTTATGTTTTCAAATGAAAAATAATTTATAAAGAGTTTTTAATTATTGTTCAAAATTAATTAAAGATATGAATTATTCTCTATCAAATAGATATCAACAAAAAGTTGTTTAGATACACAAAAGGATACATCATTAATAAAAGAAAAACCTTAAAATAAGGTCTCTTTGTCATTCATTTAAGCTTCTAATAATGTTGTTACTTTAGTATTTTTAATCAATAAAACTTTCCATCTAGAACATTGATAAAATACAACAATATAAAAATTTGACTTCCATTTTACATATTTTATTTTGCA